AAGTGTTGTTAAGGAATTTAATATAACTCAATGAGACTGTTTTAAAATTAAAAATTAAGTTGTATAATTCAATATCTCTACCTATTAATGTGATTATAATTTATTTATGATTTAATTATAAAAAGCAATTTAACAGGATTTCATAAATTACAATTATTATTATTAAGTTTAAAATGTTATTATTTATACATTGTTATAATATTTATTAAATTGTTTATTTTATATTTTAATCTTTTTATCTTTTAACAATTTGTTTGAAATGTAATCATAATAACGTGATTTGTTTAATTTAAATAAATAATTCATGATGTGTTGATATACAAATGATTTTTTAGTTAGATGTTTGGGTGAGTTGTTGAAACTGAAATATACATGTAATAAAAATAGATATGGAAATATTATAAATCATTTTATAGTTTAAATAATGTTTATGTCTTGATGTTTCATGGTGTTCTTAAATTTGATTACTTAAGTGGAAAGATAAATGTATATTATAATATATTTTTCATGTTATTTAAAATAGTTAGCTAGTTACTTGCATAATTTATTAAAAATAACTTATGATGACTTTTGAATAATTAAAAAAAAACATTGGTCACTTTTTTCACTATTTAAAATATTTTTGTCACTTTTTTCACTAATTTAAAAAAAATAATCAGTATCAGTACTGAAATTATTTTTAAAATTTATTTTCACACTAACTAACAAATAAACAAATTTATTAAAAAATATTTTTAAAAAAAATGTTACCTTTATACCTTCAATATAATATTAATTCCCTTTAATAAATTAAGCTATTTATATTTAATAATTAAATAATTAAATGATTAAAAATCGTAAAAAAAATAATAAAATATAAAATTTATAACTATTTAAAAAAATATTCTGTCTAAACCCAATTATTTTCTTAAAAAAAAAATTAAACCTCTATTTAAATTATATTCAATTCAACCAATTTCAAAAACCTTAAAAGAAAAAAATCCTAAAGAAAGAAAAAATTTTACTTGAAAAAAAATAAATTTCATATTAATCTAAAAAAAAAAAAAATAATAAATATAAAATTATTTAACTTACCTATAGAATTAAAAAAAAAATCAAATTCTAATTATTTAAGTACAAAATTATTTATAAAATATATGTATTTTCATATTGTAAACATTCATTAATAGGTAATTAAAAAAAAAGAATGTCACTGTTTCATTAATTTATTAAAATTTTGAATTTTAAATATATATTATATTGAATAACTTATGAAGTTAAATAAAAGGGAATGTTCATTACTAAACAACTATTTATTAAATATTGGTTAAAATTCATAATATAGACAACCATAATATGTACAAATGAAATAACAATCGTTGGTACCATTTTGGAGCCCCTAAGTCGAATGTACAAAAAGTGGGGTGCTGGTGTAACGTTACATTAGCACCACCGCGGAAATTTGTTTTTTTGTAGCATTTTGGGAGGTGTACAAATGTTTATATTAGGATTACAAATGTGTACAAATGAAATAACAATTGTTGGTAAGATTTTGGATTCCCTAAGTCAAATGTACAAAAATTGGGGTGCTGGTGTAACGTTACATTAGCACCACCACGGAAATTTGTTTTTTTGGGGCATTTTGGGAGGTGTACAAATGTTTATATGAGGATCACAAATGTGTACAAATGAAATAACAATTGTTGGTACCATTTTGGAGCCCCTAAGTCGAATGTACAAAAAATGGGGTGCTGGTGTAACGTTACATTAGCACCACCGCGGAAATTTGTTTTTTTGTGGCATTTTGGGAGGTGTACAATTGTTTATATTAGGATTACAAATGTGTACAAATGAAATAACAATCGTTGGTATATTTTTTGGGGGGAATATTGAATATGGTGGTGCTAATGTAACGGTCAAAGGACCTCAGTCAGGTCATACGAATAATCACGTAAATCGTTTATCAACTTCTTGTTACGGAGATTACGGACGAAATGAAGGTCGTACGTACTCGGCCTTTTCGATTTCCCGTACGCCAAATAGTCGGATTCTTGAGTTCGGTAGCGATCGACGGGGAAAGTTATGGTATACTAAAGCCAACGAGAGAGTACTATTCCTTCGCGCATCCAAAGTCGAGCTCCGCGGTTTCGTACCCAAATTTCTCCCACTCTACCATCTAGTTGCCGCCGTAAATACCCTCACTCACTAAACGGTGACGGTGGTGGCAGCAGCGTCGGCGATGGTGGTGACATCGGCGGCCGCCGGCCAGCAGTTTGGGAGTTTTAGTGGTGGGAATGCGCGAGAACGGATGAGTATTGGTCGCCGCCCAATAGTACTCTCTCGTTGGCTCGACCAAATGGTTAAGTGCTGTATGTATCAAATTTGCCATGCCAAGGCCATCGTCGAAACAATATGCTGTCGTTTGAAGAATGTACCTAAGTAATATTTTCTATGTAAGGTGAAGTGGGGTAACTGCGACGCAATTTTGAATAGTTCAACTTGATCTGTTAATTTCTCCTGAAATAATTAACTTAAAAATATGATGATTATTGCAATGTACTGATATGGAAGTGGTCTATCTATACTGGTTAGTAATTCATCGGTTGTTAAAATAGTCGAATTTTTTCATCGCACTCTGTGCTAATCTACTACGAACCGCCACTGCCTACTGTACAGCAGAGCGATATGCACTTATCAGATTTTTTTGTTTTATTTATTTTAGTTAATTTGCTAGAGGGCATTGAACGGAAGTATGATGAACCTGAGAAACAGTATAAATTTATGACCATCAATTGTTTATTCTGTGAAAAAAAATGTATGTATGAACAAACACTTTTATCCCATTTAAATTATGTTCATTTCAAACAGGGTACGGATGTACCTAGGGAACGTTCAAAGGTAAACTATTCATGACTTTTTAGATAATCCGAGACTTAAATTACTTTACAAATTTTTTTGTAATATTATCAATACAAAATGGTATTCACTTATTTTTAATAGAATGTATTAAAGATGATTGGTTCGTCAATGTTGCACTTTCCAAGCAACACTGTTATGACAACTACTAGTTTATACCACTTCATCAGAAGTTTTGGTTCAAAAATTGAAAGCGTTGATGCATTAAATGTTTTATTGATAAAAAATTGTAATGCAATTCAACATTTTGTCAATAAACAACTAAATGTATGTAACAATTATTATAATATATTTACAATCACACAAATAACAATAATTACACAATATTTAATAACAGGTACTTTCAAGATACACTTATGTTGGAAATATTATAAAATATATACAAGATGAGGAGCTTGAACAAAGTATTGTAAACTCAGATTCCTATACAATAAACAAAATAGCAACAGATTATATAAATTTTAAATTCGACAAAAAAATAGGGAAAAAAATTAGCAGTACTTAAAAAACAATCAAAAGATATTCTAAAAAGTGAAACAGTCAAACATTATTCAAAATTTTTAATGACACAAAAACTCCCCATTCAAATCATTTAGACATTTTTTCTATAGACACAATACATTTTATTTAATAACAGCCCATTCTCCACATCTGAAACATTTCAACAAAACCTTAAGTATATAAATAGTATAGAAGAAATTGATTTTATGTTATCGTCTATAATATTGTATAACTCACCTCATATGCTCTATAGGTAAGTGAAATTGCGTAATATATCGCTTATTTAATGACTATAATTAGAGCAAACTAATCATATTGCATCCCATTTTTCAGTGGCCAAGTCTGTGAAGTCGGCATATTAGAAGCCCTATATATAAAAAAAAAGAGTTGGTACAAATATATATAATGGTAAATTATATTGACACATACTGCAAACAAATTAACGGATTTATTGATTCCCACGGCAGAGCTATACTTAATAATACATCATTCATAACAGGGTTGGACTAGCCCCAAAATGTGTACCGGGAAATTCTATTTGTTGGCGGCCCTGCTTCTTTTGACCAGCCACGTAGTTGAACCTAAGGGGAAAAGCTCTATTATAAAAAAAAATGTTAGTTAATAGTGAATTATCTAAAAATATAATTTATAAGAAGGAAATAAATATAAGCTCCCCCCTTCAAGAATAAAATAAAATATTGTGTTAAGTGTATGACTAGCCTTTGTCATGAGTTATTTATTTTTTAAATATAATATAATAAAAAAACAATTAATATAAATACATTGTCAAACAAAATATAAAAAATTTCATCAAAGCAGAATACATAAATTATTTAATAAAAATAATAATAATTCTTTGTAAAGGTGGGTAGGTAATATATATTTTTAAACAACCAACATTTTTTTGAATACTGAGCTATGTTTTATCACTTCCTCAATAATGTTTTCATATGTTAATGTTTCCAAAATATCTTTATTTAAATGCATTAACATCCATGCATCCAGATTTTCCATCGATAGACGGTTTTTAAGTAGGTTTTTAATAAAACTTAGGGTCGCGTCACACTATCGCGGTTGCACCGCGCGGTAGCTACCGCGTTAAAACTACCGCTCGGTAAATTCGTGTCACACTTCAAGCGGTTTTATGCGGAATTATGCTCTCAGTTGTGCAATTTCCGTTGTCCACGCGGGTTGTGCATAGTGATTATAATATATTATTGGAATGTCGTGAGGTAATTACAAAACTTAATTATTCATTTTCTGGTTAAGCATGTGTTCCTTTTATTTTACATCATGACAACAACTGTTACGCACATACATAATAAACTAACAAATTAATAGTAAGCTTAACACAAATACAAATACAGTGTTGCCAACATCATAACACCTTAATCCTAAATGTAAAACATCATTTTAATAGTAAACGCTAAACATAATATTGTTACAGAACTCAACATAAATCTTATTCAAAATAATACATAATATAAATAAATAATACATAATAATAATACAAAATAATCATATACTTAATGTTAACAAACAATATCTTTTTATTTAATTATACAATTTAAAATCATTTTCCTAATACTTTTCTACTTTTTTTTTTATAAATCTAAACGTTTAGGTGACTTCTTGTTTCTAACAGGCCTAACGTTATTTTGTTTAACTTCAGGTAAACTAAATTTATCATTAACATTAACATCTGTAATATTCTGTTTCTCTTTTTCATCAACTTTTTCACTAGCTTTTTTAATTTCTAACTCCTGTGTTTTTATCTCATTCTCTTTTTCTTTAACTTCCTCTAAAAACTCTTTTTCATAGTTTTTTATATAGTCATCATACTTACTAAATTCTTCCAACTTAATTATGTGATTTATATGTCTTCTCCATACTAACTCTTTATCTTCAAGTCTAACTATATAATTTCTGTTTCCTAACACTTCTTCTATCACTGCCTTTTCCCAATTTTTTTTTATTTGGATTAGAAAAATCTCTCGCATAGACTACATCTCCTTCCTTGAAAACTTCATTTCTAATAGTTTTATTTTTATAACTCTCAGTATTTTTCTTTATCTTTGAATGTCTTAGAAAATCTAACCGAGTTTTTAACTTTCGCCCAAACATTAATTTTGCCGGACATTCATTTGTTGTCCAATGTGGTGAGTTTCTATACATGAATAAATATCTGTTTATTAATGTACTCACAGTCACACCTTTATTAATTTTATCTTTTAATGCCTTGTATATTCCTCTTTTAAGAGATTTAACTGCGTTTTCAGCTGCACCATTTGTAGCAGGATGAAAAGGTGGTGATGTATAAAATACAATTCCATTTTGTTTACAAAATTCTATGAATTCACTAGAACGAAATTGTGGACCATTATCAGAAATGATTTTATTTGGTAAGCCAAAACGTCCAAAAATCTCCCTCAGTTTCTCAATTAAATACCCACTATTCATTTTACTCATTTCTATAACTTCAGGCCACTTTGTAAACGCATCAATCCATACTAAATAATTTTTGTTATTTAAATACAAAAAATCTAAATGTACTCTGTCTAAAGGACCAACGGCTTCTGCCCACTTAGCTTGCCTATCTACTACTGGACTAGCCTGACATGATACACAGACTTCACAACTTTTAACATAACTTTCTATTTCTTTGTCAAGTCCCGGCCACCAAAAATAAGATCTGGCAACCGCTTTCATTTTTGCAATACCTGCATGTGTGCTATGTATCTCTTTTAATAAAAATATTCTCAACTTTTTTGGAATAATTACCCTATAGCCCCACATAATTACACCTTTTTCAATATTTAGTTCACTTTTTCTAATAAAATAACCTTTATATTCTAAATCAACTTTTTCTGGCCACCCTTCTTCAACCCAACTATAAACTTTACTTATTATTGTATCTTTCCTTGTTTCTATTTTAATTTTCAACACATCTTAAGGTATCATTCCTTCCACAAAATCTATATAACTGTACTCGTTATCATTTTCATCACTTTTAATTTCCAATGGTAAACGGGACAACCCATCAGCTGCACAATTATTTCTGCCTTGCACATATTTTAATTCATAATCGAATTCTGACAAAAATAAAGCCCAATGTTGTAATCTATTTGATGCCATACGTGGAATGCCATTATGTTCCCCAAATAATGCTAACAATGGTTTATGGTCCGAACATAAAATGAATTTTCTGCCTAATAAATATTGTGAAAATTTTTTTACACTCCAGAAAATAGCTAGAGCCTCCTTTTGTATCACAGCATATTTTCTTTCAGCTACCGTTAATACCCTTGAAGCATAACTTATAGGTTTTTCTGTTCCATCAGAAAAAACATGAACTAAAACAGCACCTACCCCATATTCAGAAGCATCACATAAAAGTTTTATTTGTATTTCAGGATTAAAATGTACTAATACCGAATCTGATGTTATTGCTTCCTTGGACTTATTAAAAGCTTCATTACATTGGTTTGTCCATTTAAACGTTATATTTTTTTTTAATAGCTTATACATAGGACCCAACAGTGTAGACAAATTTGGAATAAATTTGGCATAGTAATTAATCATACCTACAAAAGCTTTAACCTCTGTCACATTTTGTGGTATTCTTGCTTCAACTATAGCTTTTACTTTATCTTTATCTTTCCTTATTCCTTCCCCATCAATTACATGTCCTAAATAATTTACTTGCTTTTGAAAAAAACAACATTTATTCACATTTAGTTTAAAACCCGCATCTAGTAATCTTTTAAAAACTTCTCTCAAATTGTTCAAATGATCTTCATCGTCTACTCCTGTTACAATGATATCATCCAAAAAATTCTTTACACCTTTTAAACCTTGTAGGACTTTTTCGATTACTTGCTGAAAAATTGAACAAGCCGGTTTTCTTCCAAAAGGCAATCTCTTTACTTTATATATACCTTTGTGTGTACTCCATGCTAATAACTTTTGAGTATCTTCACATATTTCCAATTGATTATAAGCGTTTATAAAATCTAACTTACTAAAAAATTTTCCTCCTTGCAAAGCTACAAACAGTTCTTCGACTTTCGGTAATGGGTAGTTATAATCTTCTAAATACTTATTTATAGTTGTCTTATAATCTGCACATAACCTTACTGTCCCATTTGGCTTAATCACAGGCACTAGAGGTGTACCCCATTGGGCATTTTCCACTTTCTCAATCACATTTTCTTTTTCCAAACGCTCAAGTTCCCTTTCGACTTTTTCAATATATGCAAATGGAATAGACCTTGGTTTACAAAAAACTGGCATTACTCCTTATTTTATTTTTAAGGTAATTTTTTCTTGTTTATACTTTCTTAATTTATTTTTAAACAATTCCTCAAATTCTTTTAACAATTTTTTTAGACCAAAATCTAAATTATTTACTGTAATATTTGATACATCCACCAACTGTATACCAAATAAACTCATTAAATCTCTTCCCAATAGAGCTCTACATCCATTTTCTACTATTAGTAAATTACATTGTTCCTTCTTATTCTTATATTCCATATCAACCATAACTTCTCCGACTGGATTTATTATTTCTCCATTGTATGTTTTTAATTTAATTAAACTAGGAATGACTTTTAATTTAGACCAATATTTTTTATATAATTTAAAAGGAATTATAGATCTTCCTGCCCCAGAGTCTAATTCCATATCAATGTATATTTCTTCAATTTTAATTTTCACAAAATATGGTTCTACACTTTTCTGATAACCTACTTTTAATTGAAACATTTCTACTGATTCTGACTCAGTTTCTACTTCTACATAATGGTTTTTTGATTTGTTTTTACACATTTTAGCTAAATGTCCTATTTTATTACAAATTTTACATTTATAAGTTTTATACTTACAATTACTAAACGTATGGTTACTTAATCCGCATGTAAAACATTTTCCTTGGCCTGCTGCTTTACTGTTGTCTGAAAAGTCTGTTGGTTTTTTCTTATTTGTTATTTGCCCATATCCTGATGCTCCAATTTTTTTCTTGACATCTTTTGATATGTTCCATTTTTTTACTTTGTGTACTTCCACTGGAACATTTGATTGCATGGTTACTTCTTTCTGCATTGCTAATTCTACTATTTTGTTTAGCTCTTTAGATATTTCTTCTTCGCATAACCGGTCTTTAATTTGTCCATTTCTCATACCAGTTATAAACTTGTCTCTAAGAACATCAATTAATCCTTTTCCAAATTGACATGTTGTTGCCGAATTTTTGATTCTTGCATACCAATCCTTTACGTTTTCATTAGAATTTTGTCTTAAATTATAAAATTCTTCCCGCTGTCTAAAGACTGACACTTTAGGAGAGAACTGCCTATTTAATATAGTACATAGTTCCTTATACGGTCTTTCGGATGGCATGAAAGGGTCACACAAATCTTTTAGTGTCTTGTATGTTTTTTCCCCAATACATGTAATTAACAACGGTACCTTGCGTTCCTCCGGTATTGTATTAACTAAGAAAAATTGTTCCATTCTTTCTTGATAAATTGACCAGTCTCCATCCATTTGGAACTCCGCCAATGATCCAATAACACCCGTCATCTTTTAGTTGTGTTCTCCTTGAACTACCTTGTTTTGCTGCATGTGGTACGTCACCTTGACTACCGTCTGCCTTCAGACTCTCGCTTATAGCCTTTAATCTGATTGACGATTTGTTTATTTTTTAACGCTGTATATTTATCTTCGTCGCCATTTGGAATGTCGTGAGGTAATTACAAAACTTAATTATTCATTTTCTGGTTAAGCATGTGTTCCTTTTATTTTACATCATGACAACAACTGTTACGCACATACATAATAAACTAACAAATTAATAGTAAGCTTAACACAAATACAAATACAGTGTTGCCAACATCATAACAATTATAATATCACAATTAAGTTCAATTTTTTATTTAAGTTCATCCTTCATCAGAAGTAAGAAGATCAAAAGTAAGTTCGATTTCCATTATAATTGACAGTAATTAACCTAAATTTGTAAAAAAAAAATCCTTATTATATTTACCTACCTCATTTACTTCAATTTAAGTTAACTAATACATTTATGTTGAGTAGGATGGATTACAATTATTACATGCGTTCTTTGCAAGTAATTATTTTATTTGGACATAAGACAGTATCCACAGAAGTTCTTTGAATATTACAGAATGTCCATTCAATCATTTGATGAACTTTTGGAGAATGTGCGTCCATATATAACAAAACAAATTACACCATTTCGCAATCCCGTTTCTGCAGAAGAAAGACTCACCCTCACAATAAGGTAACATAAAAAAAAATATATATTTATAATATATAAAGAATTATAGTAGACTATTTAAAAATTCTGATTTCTTTATTTATAATTAATACATGTTGCTTGTCATACATTTATCATAAAATAAAATATATTTTTTTAGTTTTCTACTGTATGTAAATACTATATTTAAAATTTTTTTCCTTAAATCATTAAAAATATAGTAAGTGAAATTAAAAGATATTAAAACAGAATATTTAATAAAATATTATAATAATACATAAATTATAGATGAATAAAATAAAATAAAATAATAAAAAAATGAGGAAATCCTTTCAAATTTTACTTACTTAATGTTAAAAAAAACTGTTATATAGTGTGGTGAGAATTTTCATCTTGACTACTTAAATTACTATGATTCACATCAACGTTAGGAGAACCTGGATAGGAATGTAGTTGAGGCGATGTGTGAGGTGATGTATGAGAATAATGATATGAATGAGAGAGATCAGTTTGAAAGTTTGGAAGAAATTGTTGATGATTATTTCTATAATTGGCTGAGTTAGGAGAGTAACCATCGTTTTGATAGTAATTAAATTGATGTGGATATGGTTTATGATGTTCAAAAGAAAGAGTCTGTGAAGGATTTAGAATATTTTTTACTGACTGCATAAATTGTATTTTCAGCTCTAATTTTTGGTTTTCGTTCATTTTTTTTAAATCCGGTAAAAATGATAAAAGAAAGGATTTGTCAGCATCAAAATCTTCAGGTTTATGTATGGGTGGGTTTTTCATTAAATGTAATAAATTTTTTTGAAAAGGCGTAATCTGTTCTTTTTTTCTTTTTTGTTGTTTCGATACTGAGGGCCGCTTTCACCACTACTTTAAACTCCGATTAAAGTTAAACCGGTGTTTAATCGGCCGAATTTGCCCGGTTAAATATCTGTTATCAGTCGATTAAGCGTAATCGAAGTTTAAAGTATTTGGTGAAAGCGGCCCTGACCCATCACATTCCTCGTGCACTGATTCCGCTACAGACTCATCTAACTGACATTGCCCTTCATCACCGTGATCGTCTGTAGAGATCGCATTATCAGAAGAGCATGTCGGAGTCTCAATATTTCCAGTAGTTCTAATAAACATAATCATTAATAAAAAAAATAATTCTTATATAATGCGAAATATATCGGAATAATATATATCCTTACTTTCTTTTCTTTACAACAGGTTGTAAAAAAGATAATATGTCAGAATATGTATATCTTTTTGTATTCCTGGCTTCTGATCCACTCTGAATTTTTCTTGTCTCATTTATGTCTCTGGTGTAATTATCTCTTAAGTGTTTCCATTTTTTTTTTAATTCTTCGACTATAAATACATAAAATAATAAAATCTGTTTTTTTTTGGAATTAACGCAAAAATATTATAAATAAAATAAATATGTATCAATAGAATAATGTAAAGAATTAGATGTAGATAAACACGATAAAATTTTGAAAATAATTTGACTTTTTTTGAACTGTTTACGGACATTGTCAGTTTTCAATTTTTTTAGTTTTTTTTTTCTATAAATATCAATAAAATGTTATTTGTTGGTTAAAAATGCGTGAAAATTTAATACAAGACTCCTTGTTACAATAGCAGTTGAAAAATATTTAAAATACATAGGCACAATTTTTTTTTATAAGGATTTAAAGTTCGAATTTTGACAAAATTTTACAAATTTTAAATTTAATAATTATATTGTAGTTAAAAATTTATAAAATGTTCAACTTTTATAGCTAAGGATTGAAAATTTAAAACAAGATTCCACGTAAATAGGTTAAATATAAATTACATTATTCACCTTAATATCATCAAATATACTTAGTAATACCATAAGCTGACTGACTGTTTTCGCTCAGAATCGTTTTTCTTATACAATGATATTATATCATTGAATTCAAATTTAACACCATCCATTACAGTGACCCACTTATAACCTACTGTACAGCAGAGCGACATCCATTTACCCACCTTTTTTATTCTAATAATTTCTAGATATAATTTTGCACAACACTGGTGGGTAGTGATACATTTTCTATTATTAATTCAACAATTTTAGATTCTGAGCGGAGCGATGAATGTATTGATTTTACAATGATGTATGTTTATTTTTTAATTCAAAGTTCAAATTTTGACAAAATACGTAAAAATGACGAAAATTTGCAATTTTTGAGTTAGAAATACATAAAAACTTTTCTTTTTAAATCTAAGGTTTGAAAATGTAATACAAGATTCCTCATAAGTTTGCCTAATTTTATCAATAAAAAAATGTTTATAAACAAGTCAAAATATATGTTTATGAGCAATTTAAGTTTAAATTTTTACAAGATTGATATATATATATATATATATATAGGGCCTATATATAAGTAGGTCACAATATATATATATATATATATTTTTTTTGTGACCTACTTGTAACCTACTGTACAGCTGAGCGACATCCACTTGACCCCCTTTTTTTTGCTTTGCTCAGAATCTAAAATTGAAATTTTATTTCAGATATTTATCAACGGGAACCAATTTTGTTGCTTTGCAGTATGAATTTTTATTAGGTCGGAGCACAATTGGTACAATTATTCGGGAAACATGTAGTGTATTATGGACTACCTTACAACCAAAAGAAATGCCAGATCCAAACAATCCCGATAATTGGTTGGAAATTGCAAACCAATTTTACATAAAAACTAATTTCCCCAACTGTATTGGAGCAGTTGATGGAAAACATATTAGATGTATCAATCCAAAAAATGAGGGAACTATGTTTTTCAATTACAAGAAGTATTTCTCGATTGTATTAATGGCCGTTGTCGATGCAGATTATTGTTTTACGACTATTGATGTTGGTGCCTATGGTAGAGAGAGTGATTCTACAGTTTTTAAAGATTGTCCTTTTGGAAAAAAACTTTATTCTGAAGAACTTAATCTGCCACCACCAACTTGTTTACCCAATACCACGGATTCCCCACAGCCTTTTGTTATAGTCGCTGATGAAGCGTTTGGCCTCCATAAAAATTTACTGAGACCGTATCCGGGACGTGGACTCACAGATAAACGGAGAATATTTAACTACAGATTGTCGAGAGCCAGACGAATAGTGGAATGTACGTTTGGTATTCTCGCTAATAAATGGAGAGTATTGCACACTCCAATACTAGTTGAGCCTGATTTTACGGATATTATTGTGAAATCTTGTTGTATTCTTCATAATTATGTGCGCAGAAGAGACGGATATATTTTTGAATATACACTTAGTAATCCTTTAGAGGGTATTCAAAACTACGGGAATGCAGGAGCTCGCCATCAAGGAATTGATGTTCGCGATTACTTTGCTGAATATTTTTTAAACGCTGGATCAGTTACTTTTCAACCCCGTATCATTTAAATTGTTTTTAAATAAAATTTCTTATTAATATTTAGTATACAGTTTAATAACTAACAAATTATAATATTATAATTACTAATTGTAATGTCATTACATGGATAAGTAATACCTAATACGTATATGTATATAAAAAATAAAAAATAAATATATAAAAATTTTAAACTTACTCTTAAGTTCTTGTTCTTCTTTGTTATAACTTTCCCATTCATCATACATGTTTGAAGCAATTTTGGCCCAGGCTTTAGCTTTAACATAGCGGTCCACCATATACTCTTTGGAATTCATTTTCCAAAGGCACTCTTCTTTTTCGACTTCCACAATAAAAAGTTCAGTGTCGAAAAAACTCATTTTGAATAAATTGCTAATATACGTATATTTTACACTGAAAACGCGCGTTGCTGCCGCTGTAGTGTGGTGCATGTGATTGAAAACCATGGGTTTTTATTTTGAGCGGTTGAAAATAGTTCTAGCGGCGCTGCCGTCAAACCGCGACACGCAACGGCGTTGTGCGGCGGCTAGCGGTAGAACGCGGTGGAAACGCCCAAGTGTGTCACGTTCCATAAATACACATGTGATGATATTTATGAACGAAACCGCGATAGTGTGACGCGACCCTTAAGGTAGAAAAACTCTTTTCACAGCCTACCTGAGTGCATGATAGTGTTGAAATATACATATAGGCTAAAAATAAATTGCTATATGCTTTAACATATAATCTATATTTAAACAATACATTAAAACAGCAAAGAAAACAATTTAAACACCGTATATTTGTTTTGCATAGGTTTTGTTCAAACTCATTTTCTTGCAAACATTCTAAATCTAATTCTGGAAGTTCATTTTCCTCATCACTTCTATAACTTGCATATACTTCAGGTAAATTTAATTTAAGCTTATCCCATTTTTTGTTAAAATCTAGAAATTCTTCCCTTAAAATAGGAGTATTTTCTAATCCAAGAAATTTACTAAGTTTGAAAAGAGCAGTTGTGGGCAATGGTTTTGAAAATTGACGAGGATCTAAGCATGTAAAATCTGAACATATTTCAGCGTGTTTAGCAAAACGTTGTTCTAGTTTACAAATCACTGTATCCATCGCTGTGTTATGAACATTAAATTTGGAGCCGGTACACACGACCGATATTTCATCGTACGATTTATTTATCGTATTAAAATATTATCGTACGATAAGGTGTTGGTTAGGTACACACGACCGACATTTTATCGTACGATCTAGGTATATCATATATTATAAATTATAATATATCATCAAAATTACGTATTCAGTATGAACTGTGCAGTGTTATTTGAGTGTTGCGTATTTTACAGTTCTCACTTTAAGTGCATTTTAACAATTAATTCCTAGTTTATTATCCAAAAAAAAAACAATGAATGATATTATAATTTTATATATGGGTTATAAAATATTACTAAAGAAAAAAAAGAAAAAAATAGAAAAATGTGGGTCCATCCATTATTATCCACTCGTTTATCCGAAGGTGCGTTTTCAATTAATTTTGAAGGTCTTAGAAATGATCCGGTAAAATTTTTTAATTATTTTCGTATGTCAGTATCTGCTTTTGATGAGTTACTTACAACATTTGTTGGTCACAAACTGATAAAAATGGATACAAATGTGCGAAAAGCCATTACTCCAGCTGAAAAATTGGCAGTCACTCTAAGGTATTACATATTAATATTATATTTTAATATATTGTATTAATAATAGTCCTATTTTTAATTAATATACTTTATAAGTCAGTTTATTAAGATTATACAATTTACATTAGAAATTCATTACTAAAAATAAAAATAATAACTAACGTTTTAATTAAAAAAAACATTTACCAGATACTAGTTACTAATTTCTTTGTTTAATTAGTAATAATTTATTTTGTTATTAAAAACTCATCCATTATATCAGAATCAGAATATATCACATCTCTCCCTGGCACAATATCCGAGTGATGTGAAAGTGTTGATGTTGAATATGGAGAAGGAGAACTGGCATTTGATTGGTGTGGAGATTCAGGGGAAACGACATTAATATGTTGAGACGAAGCATAAGTTTGAACTGGGGGTTGTAGACTATGAACATTGTGAACATTTTGAGATTGGACATAAAGACTGGTATTCCTTGCAGGTAATATGTCGTATTGAGTATTTGCATACTGTGATGATGTTTGTTGTGGATGTATATGGACTATATGGAAGTTGATGGAAGTATGGCTGATGCTGAAAAGATGTGGATGATACATTTGGTTTTATTGTCTCCGGTAAACTAGAAGATTGGTCTCTCTTAATAGTTTGTGCAATTTTGATCACCTCTGATCTGAAAAGTAGTGTCTGGTCGTCGTTAAATTTTCTAACTATCGGTAACAAGGAGTTAAAAAATTCTTGATGCTGATCTTGTTTATCATCATTAATCCCTTTCTGTGTTTGTACTTCTAAATATTCTAAAAACTTCTTTTCGACAATTGATTCTTTTTGTTTGCTCTGTTTTTTTTTGTTTGGTCCAGAGTTGTTTAAAGTTGAACATTGTTCTGTCACTATTTCGGATGTTTGTAAGTTATGTTCAATATTAGCATTTATAGTATTATTCGCAATATCATTGTCATTTATAGTATCATTCTCAATATTGTCATATGCAGTATTATTTAAATTAATAGAGCTTGAAGTCTTTCGTGGGGTTATTGTTTTAATGAGGAATCTTAATTCATCATGATATAAGTATGTTTTTTTGGATTTTTTTCTGGCGCCATCGCCTGATTTTGGCTTATCTTCCTTTAAACTTCTAATAAATGCATCTCGAACATTTCTCCATTTCTTCTCTATATTATTTCCTACAAATGTAATACGTAAATATAGGCTTTTGAAATATTGGATTTTTTTTAGATTCTGAGCGAAGCGATGAATGTATTGGGTTTACAATGATGTGTGTTTTTTATTTATTTTTTATTTTTTATGAGCATTGTAAATTAAAATTTTGCCAAATTTTGACAGTTATCACTTATCAATATCTCGAAAATGCACAAATTATTTAGTAGTTTCAATACTCTACGCCGACAAACCGTCTCCGCTCAGAATCGTTTTTCGTATTCAATGATATATTATTTTAATATTGTAAAATTATAGATTATAAGTACTCATGAATTATATCACAACTAAAAATAACTGTAATTTATTATTTATTGGTTTTAGATATCTTGGTTCTGGATGTACATTTAAGGATTTACACTATTCGTACAAATTAGGAGTCTCATCAATAGCTATGATAGTTCGAGAAGTTTGTTCAGTTATATGGAATGAACTTGTTGGAGTTTATATGCCCACTTTTACTGAACAATACTGGAAAGATATTTCAACTGGTTTTGAGAAACAAGCAAATTTTCCTCACTGCATTGGAGCGGTAGACGGAAAACATATACGTATTATTAAACCAACTGGAACGGGTAGTCAACATTATAATTATAAAAAATTTTTTTCTATCGTATTATTAGCAGTAGTAGACTCAGATTACAAATTTATATATGTCGATGTTGGATCCTTTGGAAAGGATTCCGACTCTACCATTTTTAAAAATTCCACACTTTGGACTCTATTGGCTAATAATTCATTAAATATTCCTCAACCTTCGGTATTGCCTAACACAGATGGAAATGTTCCATATTTGTTTGTGGGTGATGAAGCCTTCAGTTTATCTACAAATGTACTACGGCCCTATGGAGGACGAAACTTATCACAAAAAAAAAGAATATTCAACTACCGTTTATCACGTGCACGGAGGTATGTTGAATGTGCATTCGGGATTCTGTCAAATAAATGGAGAATTTTTCATATGAATTTTTCATTGAATGTCACTACGGATTTAGCTGTAGACATAACAAAAGCTTGTTGTGTATTACATAATTACGTTCGAGAAAAAAATGGGTACAAATTACAAGACACGTTAACCATTGAAGGATTTGATGAACCTCTAGTCACAACTAATAACAACAATCGTGGAGGAAGAATGGCAAATGATATAAGAAATACTTTTGCCGATTACTTCTATACTGTAGGAGCTGTGGCATGGCAAAATGATAAATAAATAATATGTTATTTAATTAAAATACAAACTAAAACAGTTTTATTAATTATTTTATCATTATTATAATATATAATTATAATATTATGTAGGTTACATGTTACATGTGAAACAAGTCAATAGCAGTTTCAGTAACAGTTTCATTTTGGTTCTCACCATACAATGTTTTTTTCTTACGTATCCGCACATTTGGCAAATTATCCGGGATCAAATTATTAATTTCATCTACTAGGTAGTTTAATTTTGTTCATAATAATACAATAATTATTTCTGTCCTTTTATCAATTTAAATTGATTTAAATATTAAATTCCATAAAATAACGATTGAAATAAATTTTTTTTTATCAAATTAAGATAACCACCATGGACTCGCGGTCCAATATAATATATTAATAGTTACGGCGGTACTTTTTGCTGTGGCCCACCGGGAAATTTCCCGGTATCCCGGTGGGCTAGTCCAACCCTGATTCATAACAACGAATAATAGGTACTTATATATGCAGTTGACAAGGAATTTAAGTCTTTTATAACCGCTTTGGATAGATGGTGGACTCAACCTTTCATTAACATGGGCTATAATCAACCACAGTAATTTTAAAAACAATATTCTATCACTAAAATAATTAATTCTTCTTTAAACATATTATAATTTTATATTAATTAAAAAAAAACAGATTGCCAACAATACTTGCAAATGTTAGTGTTGTTATTGATGATGATTCTTCTGTTCAATTTTTCGTACCATATATGGTTGAAATGAATTTGAACAAAACTTTGGTTTTAGCGTGCATTTATATATATTATAAAAATGCATTAATGAAAGATAAACACACAGTATGTTATAATGTTTAGAAATGTACTTACTTTATAATTATTTAAAGTGTATTAATGAAATTCAATTATTTTTCCTTATAGTTGTCCAATATATAATATAATCACATTGTATTAGTTATGTGTATAATAAGACATCGGTTTATAAACAAGTCTGGCACAAAAGAAGTGCTATTGCAGTTAGTAAAGGAAAATTGAATGAATACACTATCTACCAAGCAAATTTATCTATGATCCATGAAGAAACTAAACAATTTAAAAATATAAGCATAGTAAAAGAAATTAAAAATATTACAGAAGACACTTACATGAGATCGGCAATATTTTACAATGTAATTATATTTGTTTGTTATAACCAAGACTGCAATTTTTAGTATAAAAATATTATTATAATATTATCATTAAAAAATGCTTTCTGGGAAGGCACCAATGGTTCACAAATTTAAATCATCTTTCTAATTGTGTGTTTGTTTCAGCTACCAACAACATTATTTTCAAAGAACATACCTAAAGTAATGACAATGCTGGTTTTTGTATATTTTATGTTATTTTGACAATATTGTTCTGATGTTTCAGTAACATCATACACATGCAATGTTTGCTCGAAAAAATTCAGATTCTCATCATGGTATAAAAACCATGTTGCAACGCATGATGAAGGTAGTAGGACTCTTTAATTGCAACTATTGTCCGAAACATTTTAAAAGAAAGGATAATTTAAATCGACATTTTAGAACACATTTTGGCGCTGAAATTCATGACTGTGAGGTTTGTGGTGAACAATTTTCTTACTCCTTTAATTTAAAACAACATATCCTTGTTCAACACAATCCCAATTTCAAACGTAAGACATGTAGAAAATGTGGAAAAACGTTAGTAGATGCCAGGGCTTTAAGATATTTCGACAACCGCATGCATACTCTCCTTTAAATGCAACTGTGGTGCAGCATTTCATGCGCCTAATGATTTATACCGGTACTGTCGCAAAGAGGTAATATAAAATCCACAAATAACTGTCTGTCTTTAGCCTAAGAAAAACAAATATTTAATTAATTTTTTTAAATGTTATGTTTCAGGGTCATTAGCTCATAACCGGTTTTTCAATTCCATTTAATTTAATAGAATTATTTAAAAAAAAAAAAAAATCAGAAATTTATATGGTCTCTTTTGTACAAAATACATTGTATGAAATGTTAAGTTTATCATATTGTTTATCTAATTTATTTAATGGAAAAAAACGTATATTGTAGTTTTTGCTTTTCACATAAATTTGTCAACTACTATGTACCATTAATTATAATATATTTGTTAATAATGACATTGAGGTTCCGCCAGGAGCCAGAAATTTGTATTTTCTTTATAAATACTCAATAAATTTAATAAAGAATTAAGTTTTTAATATTGTTTAACTAATTTGTTAAGTTTATCATATTGTTTAATGTTGTTTATCTAATTTATTTAATGAAAACCAATTAATATTGTAGTTTTTGTTTTACACATAAAGTTGTCAATTAATAATAACATTGATATTCTGCATGACGTGCGGAATTTGTATTTTCTCTAACATAATATACAAAATAAATTGTGTCAATTAAAAGCTGATAATAAACAAATGTAATTTCAATTGGATTTGTGTATTATTTTTAGCAAATCTTATAATTTAATACATTTACAGGGTAAAGCAGACTACATGAACTATCTTCGGATATATTTGTTATTAGTTTTTAAAGGTTTCAACATCTTAGGTCATTAGCCATATAACATTGTTAAACTCCTAAGTACATTCACAGGATAGCAGACTACCTTACCTTTCCAGGGATGTATTTTTTATAGCTGTAGGAACGTCGGTTATTTTTTAATAATTTATTAAATGCTTATAAAAAAAAAATTATGCCTATGTATTTTAAATATTTTTCAACTGATATTGTAACAATATATCAGGAGGATTGTATTAAATTTTTATACTTTTTGGCCCAACAGATAAAACTTTATTGATATTTATAGAAAAAAAAATTAAAAAAATTGAAAACTGAAAATGTCCGTAAACAGCTCAAAAAGTCAAAATATTTTCAAAACTGTATGGTGTATACGAAATGCTAATATAAACATTCAGTGAAATTTTCATGATCAATAGTTATTCTTTTTTGAATTACAACATAATAAGGAAATCGCTACATGAGAAATCGAGTGAATATCCAATGTTGTAAAAATTTGAATTTCAAACGCTCATAAAAATTTAATTTGACTTTCCGGTAGAGATTTTTTTACTGATAATGATAGATAATCTTATAAGGAATCTTGTATTACATTTTAAAACCTCATATTTAAAAAGAAAAATTTTTACGAATTCTTAACTCAAAATAATTTGCTAATTTTCGTGATTTTTCCATATTTTATCAATTTTTGAACTTTAAATGCTTATAAAAAAAAACTGTGGCTAAGGATTTTTAATATTTTTCATCTGCCTTTGAAAAAATATACTATGAGCCTTCTATTAAATTTTCAAGCTTTTTTAACCAACAAATAAAATTTTATTGATATTTTTAGAAAAAATCTAAAAAAAATAGAAACTGAAAATGTCTCAAAATAAGTCAAAATATTTGAAAAATATTATGGTGTATAGAAAATGCTAATATAAATATTCAGTCAAAATTTCATGTACCTACGGTCATTTGTTTAAGAGTTGCACCAAAAACCAAAATCGATTTTCTTGAAAACAGATTTTGCGTAAAAATGCCCGTTTCAACTTAATTTTTCTTTTGTTTTTCACGGTGCTTTGGAAAACTAATAGGACATTTAAAATTTGACCTCCCGAATGCACCAACTAGATTCACTTTCCCGTCGAACAAAATACTGTTGAAGAAAATCTAAGCACTTTTACTGTCCTAAAAGGTAATGACAGACACAAAAAAAAAAACACACATCATTGTAAAATCAATACATTCATCGTTCCACTCAGAATCTAAAAATCATATTCGCTTTTTAAAATTTAAAAATATTCATTAATCTTTGAAATACTTACTTATATAAAAAAGTCTGTATATAAAAGTAAAAATAAAAAATAAAATTACATATTATATAATTAGGTATGAGTCAATCTGCCTTTGAAATGTACCTAATTGTTTAAGAAAAATCAGTTAAATAAATATTGGTGGCTATTAGATAGGTACCTAGTTCAAGACTTTGAGTTTGTGGTGGTCCAGTGTATGAGGAGTTTTGAGTGAGTGGTTCTGGAAATGCATACGTAGTCGCGGTGGAAGATCCTATAGGTATATTATAAATGTAAGGATATTTATAAGTTGGTGTCATATTGATATTATGTTTGTATACGAAACTATTTGAACTTGAAATACTTTAAAGATGTTTTGAGGTTGAGATGTATTTGTTGCCAAACTAAAATTGTAATTCCGTTTTTTGTTGATCATTTAATTTCTTAATGTAAAGTACAAATGATAGTAAAAATGTTTTATCAGGATCATCAACTTCAGGTGGTGTTTGAAAGTAAAACAGGTGATTTGTTATTGCGTTTAGTAAAGCATCTTGGAATTAAGTAGTTTGAATTTTTAGTGCTTGACAACAACTGTGTTATAGAAACACTATACTTTTAAACTGTTTGTACATCTTAAAATGCTAATAAATAACTTTAAAAAGAAAAGTTAACATAAAGCCTAAGAAATTCCCTAGATAACAATCTTACCTTAACATTTTATAAGAAGTCAATTCACTCTTATTTTTAAGACAATGGGGCTAAACGTGATAAGCTGGGCGTACAATTTGATGTGTTACGCACTTGTAAGACGGAGACAACAATGTCTGTGTAGTGTACTCATAATGGTTTTCTGAAATATTTCAATTACATTCCAAAACAAACATTTCATCGATAATCTTATATGCCATAAGCTAAATGTTTTTTTGATGCCAGTTCCGTAATGGTTTTATAACGATTTGTTATGTTTGTACAATTAATGTGTAACTAGATATGTATATTATAGTGTTTATATATGTTCAAGGGTTTATCCGGTATATTTAATAAAATAAAATAAAATAACATTTAGTTTATATTTTTATTAAGTAGCTTTGAAACTTCTATTACCTGTCCCATAATATTATATATTATATCTATATAAAACAAACATATTTTGTCACTATCAATCATTGAAATGTTGCCTGCTATTCAAGGGTTCAGTTTATAGAAACTTAGTTGTTGCCAAAAAAAAAAAAAAAAACATTCGCTATTTAGAGATGTCTGTTAATGTATCACATTATTATATATTATATTATTCATTAATAGTTAGATAAATAATATTATAAGTCAATAAATAGTACTTGAAGCCGATATATGGATATCGATTTTGAATACCGGTTAAAACCGTTTAAATCCGTAATCGATAACGAAATCGAAAAAAAATGAATAGGTACTGGTAATCAAAACCGAGATTGAAATAGAATAATTTTTTTCGGTTTTAATCACTGGTCATTATAATAATATAATAATAATGCAGGACTTGAAACCGATTTTTGAATACTGGTTATAACCGTTAAAACCGAAATCAAAATTAGAAAAAATGTTGTGATTTCAAGCCCTCTTAAAAATACAACTAAAAATGATTTTTTTTGAAATATAAAATGGACATTTCAACTTTTGAATACATAATTAATATATTTTTACATACAAATACATTATTTCATATTTTAATACAGTTATATATTTAAACATAGTATTACACATTATACAACTACAAACTATATAAGTACAACATTGTGACGGAATAAAATAACAACACTAACGTGAAACTGGCACTACAATGTTTGCAAAATAATCTAAAACCATTCCAACAAACTCCACTCGGACTTGTTGGACGTTGTTGGACATCGTGTTAAGTAGTTAAAATTGGTTCATATAAAAAATGATATAACAATTAAAAGTTTTTAATTGTCATTATATTGAGTCCTCTTATCCAACAACTTTAAAACTTGGTCCAACAAATTTGTTAACACACCGCAGAAGAAGAAAAATAACTCCGACAACTTTCCTAAGTTTTTAAATCACCATTTTCTTCGATACTACATTTTTCATTTTACACTTATTATTCATATTGAAATTTTTTTTTTTCATATTATTGAGTTCTGGTGTCCAACAACTTTAAAAAGTGGTCCAACCAACTTGTTTACACATCGTAGAAGAAGAAAAAAACATTCAAACATCTTTTCTAAGTTCTACAATCACCATTTTCTTCTAGCACAACATTTTTCATTTTTTCACCTAATACTCATTTTAAAATTTGTAAGTGTCGTTATATTAAGTTCTTGTGTCCAACATCTTTAAAAAGTGGTAACTAAAGGTAAAGTAGTATATTTAAAAACCTAATACAAAATATGTATGGTATTGAGTTAGGTATATGTGTAATTATCAATTTAAACATCAATTAAATTATCAATTACAACATTTTGAATATTTTTCTTATGAAACTTTATTTAATATTTAAATATAGAATAATTGTATTTGAAGTTCAATTAATAAACTTGACTTTGTAATTATATAGCTCTTGGAAGATTCAAAACGGTGTTTACCCAGGATCAGGAGCTACAATTAGTTGAGTTCATAAAAACCATGGAAGCACGTCTATTTGGTTTGACTTCTATGGAGTTGAGAAGCTTGGCATATAAACTGACAGTAAAAAATAATATAAGCAATCTTGTAAAAAGATACTTTTCATTTGTATTTAAATAGAGATACAAATACATCAACTTAAAAAGTATTTAAATAGTATTTAAAGTACTTTTTTCAATAAGTATTTAAGAACAAATACAAATACTTAGAAAGTATTTAAACACAAATACTTATTTTAATACATTTGTTTTAAGTTTTACCTTTGGGTTCAATACTTTTTCTCTGATATATTAACTTTAAATTTGACCATGAGATCAAACTCATTCAAATTGTACATATTAATTATTATTATATTGTTAATACTTAATAGTTCATATATTATAATGCATGTTCCATATTCTGGTACTAACCAAGGTACCTATAATTGTATGATAAGTTAATAACCACCAAATGATCGTTTTAATTATTTATTGTAATAGAACTAAATAGATATTATAAGAACCTTTATTTCCACAACAAACCTAGCTTCTGGAGAAAATAATTTATATATAAATGCTATATTTCTGTAGTGAAAATATTTTTATTAATGTATATATTACGTATGTATACTATTTAATTTTTCACACAATTTTGACCGTTTTCTATCGTTTTTCGCCCTCTTTTAATACTCGATTCGCGTAGCTCGCGATCTCTCGAAGCCGCCGGTGGGCGGTTTATATCCGTGCGCCGTCCGTAGCCGTCGCAATGTCGATCGCAAAATACGCTCCCGGGCGGACTTTTTTGCCGATTTTTTTCGGTTTCTCCGACAGTTTCGTCTTTTCGCACGTCGTTCGTGGATCTAACATCATGTTGATTTATGGGCTCGTTTTAGGTTCAGACTTCATAGATTATAGGTAAACGTAAAGTCGTAAACCGAATCAGCTGATCGAATTTCGCTTCATTATTGTTCTATGTTTATAGTTTGGAGTTTCAAATAATTCACATCACAATAAACTAATATAGGCTTCAATGAAAAAAAAATAATAATATTTTGCATTTTAGGAGGCTATGTCGGGAATAAACTTACTAAATTTCAATGATATTACTCATGACTATATTATTATTTAGTCATGATATTACTTTGATTTCTGAGAAAAAAGATAATAAATAATTATTTATTATTGAAAAAAAATCGATAAAGTATTTAAATAAAAGTATTTGATTTTCAAATACAAATACGTCCAAAACAGTATTTAAAATACTTTCCAAATACTTTATTCAAAAAGTATTTAAAAAGTATTCTAAATACAATAAAAGTATTTAAATACATTTACTCAAATACTTTTACTCAAATACTTTACAAGACTGAATATAAGCCATACATTTTGTAAATGGGGGGTGCCACTGAAAATGTTCCGTCACAAAACCAATTATCATATTCACTCATAAAATCTAAATTTTGATGAGTTGTAAATATTAAAATTCGTGATTCAGTAGGACCGCTATCGAATTTTAAAAATAATTCACCATTGGAGTTATATCTATATTGATCTGGTATAATAAATTCAAAATTACTTGGATTAGCTGGTGCAGCTTCCTCCTTTGGTGTACACGTTGAATTGTCCTTTTCAATGTATTAACACTCGACATTTCTGCGGAAACTGCACTTGTTACCTAATTTAGTTTAATTTGAATAATTAACTAATTTTTCCATTTCTATATGTAACTAAAATATGAATTAACTGCATAACTGCGTTTCCTAAAACTGAATGTGTGCTGAGAGTTGTTTGTGATGCATTTTTCTTTAAAGTTGAAATAACTTTTTTCGCTTCGATTTTTGCTGCATTTGGAACGTGATTGTTGTGTTCAATAAATTTAGTAATTTTGTCGTCTACTACGTGTAAACGACCTTTAGGTACAGTGAATTTTTTTGTATTCAGAACATTTCCAGTATGTTTTGTTGTCATGTTCTCGTACTTTTACGTGTAAGAAACCTTGATAAATAAGCATAGGTATACTTATTTTTTCGCTTAATACGTACTCTAAAGCCATATTCTATGTACAGTACTTTCAGCTCAAGTTATTAGTATATACTGATTGACGATTGTGTCAGTACTGATATATTTTCATAGTGTTTCATGGTGATCTATATTCTATAGATAGATAGGGAAAAATACGGACTGATAAAATAGGGTACGAGTATAATGTTAGATAAGACTTAATCGTTAACGACCGAATAAAGTTACAAAAAAATAATATTGGCCTTAAAATAACACTGAAATAACCTATATAGTTTGCGATCAATTATCGTGCGGTAAATTGCAATTGCGATCAATTGGTTTGCGATCAATTGTTTACGGTCAATTGTCGCGAGGTAAACTGTTTACGATAAATTGACGGTACACCGTAAAAAATATAAATTTATAAATAATAAATTAAATATAAATATAAATTATTATAACTATTTTTTATTATTTGTATATAATGTGATTTTGTATCGAAATTGATGATTTTCAACCGTGTACCAATTATTATTGTTTTTTTTTTTTTTTGAATTTTTTGACCTAAAAAATTGAATTTAGAAGATATCACTGGCGGCTAGTTGAACATTTGTTAGGTTTTTATAATAATAATTATTTACGTCGCATCCAATTTCACGCGCAATCATTCGCTTTTGAATAGTCAAAACTCAAAAGCATGATTATTTGTTGTTCCGGCACCGCGCGCAATCGTATGCTTAAAAAGGTAAAACGCGCGCAATCGTACTCCACCGGACAGTAACAGCTGAAATTTGCATGGGTGCTGATGGGTCATACATACCTCCAATGCTTATTTTTCCTCGCGTTAGAAGCAAACCAGAGCTTATAGATGGTGGCCCACCTGGGAATAGGGCTGATATTCATCCAAGTGGATGGATACAGACGGATTTGTTCCTTAAATGGTTTGATAAATTTGTAACTTTTTCCAGAGCATCTAAGACCCATACGATTTTACTTTTGCTTGATGGCTATTCTACACACACTAAGTCATTAGAACTTATAGATAAAGCTAGAGATGCTGGTCGCTGGTGTTATATTGCTTTGCTTCCAACCTCATTGCCACACAAACTTCAACCATTGGATGTAGCTTTTATGAAACCTCTAAGCTTGTATTACAGTGATGAAGTTAAGAGATGGCTTAGGGAGCACGCTAAAGAAAACAGAGTTGTCACCCAGTTCCAAATAGCATCGCTTCTTGGTAAAGCATATTTAAAAGCATCATGTATGACAACAGCCATCAGTGGCTTTAGGGAAACAGGCATTTGGCCCGTAGATGCCAACATATTTCAGGAACGTGACTTCCTTGCTAGTGCTGCTACTGACATTGATTTAAATGTTTCAGTAACAGCAAATCAACCAAATATTTCAAATAGTGTGTCCCCAGTTGAACCAGACGTTTTAATTCCAAATATACAAACAATAAGTTTGCCCACAGTTCATCAAGAAATTATAAATCCAAGTGTAGAAACAAATGATAACTCTACTCTTTCTTTAACACAACATGATTCACCAGGATGTTCTCATTGGCCAGCAGGTGCTGAAAAACCAGTTAGAAAAGAATTTTTTGCTTTATCTCCTGAAGAAATTCTACCTATTCCAAAAAGTAATAAAACCACTGCACGTATATCAAAGAGAAGAGGAAAAACAGCGTTACTCACGGAATCACTATACAAAAATGAGCTTCTAGCTGCCAACATATGTTCAACACCCAAATCAGTAAAACGTTCTTTGTCATTGGGCCCAAAAACTAAAAACTAAAACATCCATGGAAAATCTTAATAAAAAAACTAAAAATAATGAAAAGTGTCTGTATTGCAGTGAGGTATACTCAACTTAAGTTGATGGATGGATCCAGTGTCTGTTGTGCAAGAAATGGCCTCACTATCTTTGTGCTAGGATCGAAAAACAGATTATGAAACAATATTTAACTGTGAAATTTGTTCCTAAAAATATTCTAAGTTTATTTAAAAAAATAAAAAGTTACAATTTATGTTTTTATTTTGTATGTTAAGTTATACATTCAAGTTAACTATTGTTTTTTTTTATAAATAAATTGTTTTGTTTGTCAAATTAATTAAAATATATGGTATTTAAATGATTTTTTTTTAAAAATACCCATACCTGGGGCAAAGTGGGGTAAACTGTACTTTTTTTTACATTCTTTTAAACTTTTAAATAAAACCCCAAATTTTCTTAATAAATGTTTAATCAATAACAACAACTTAAGGATAGTGTGAAAAAAATTTGAAAGGAAAAAATTGATTTTTAAGTGAATTACAGGCCTTCACTTTGCCCCAGTTCCCCTACAAATATTATATAAAATGATTTTCCAGAAATACAAATTTCAAACCAATTAATTCAGAGTACATATTTATAAACTATTATAAAAAATAATAGGTATAATATATTGACAAGTTTACAAAAAAATATTTTGGGTAATGATGAATTACTTGAATTGGAATTGCCTATACACCCGAAAGTCTGTAAGGTCAATGCAGAAAATGAAAATGCAGTTTTTACAATGGTACCTCAATTGCCAAGTAAGTACTTACCTACAACCTTCATACCTATTCATTTAATATTTTTTCTCATGAATGTTTATATTTTCTTTACAAATAAATTATTTATCGTGTACTAATATATTTTCCATTTGGATTGATAATTTCTCAAAATGTTTGTTTTATATTTTTTTTTATATTCAATTAATTGTATTGGCTATAATATATTATAATAATATAATATGTGTATACATTTATGTGTTACATGTGTACGCAATAATTTCGTCAACAATAATAACTACAATGCATATTTGGTTAGTAATATATATATTATATTTTTTAGAGTTTTACTTACCGCTAGGGATTATAGAGCACGAGCTTCTAACAACATGTACACTATATCATTATTGAATCATAATAATTATATAGAGAATACCTATTTTATTGTTCTGACTTGGTTCAATTCAGATTTCTATACATAATATAACATAAATAAGATTACGATATGAAGTTACATTGTCTAACTAAAAGTGAAGAATAATATTATAATAATATGAAAAAACCAATTATTTACTGTTACCTATATAATATTATGTTTAAGAGTATAATATAGGTAGTATGTTGTATGTAGTATTTTATTAATTATTATATATATATCATAAAAAGGAAAAGCCAAATGACGATGTTCAGACAATGTTTGTTTGTGACTTGTGTAACAATTAATAACAAAGATTTAGTGATTAAAAAATCAAGTTTGTATTGGCTATTAGATAATAAGTATAGACGAATTAGTAATGTCCGTCTAAGACGGTTCATGAATAATAGCAAACAAAATACTATGTTATCAAAAAATACTACTAAACCAACTCAAGTGCAAAAAAGTAAAGACATAAAAAAAAACATCTGCCAACAAAATTATAATAGAAAATGATAATTCATCAGAAGATGTTGATGGCCCTTTAGTATGAAATTTTGTGATGATAAATTATCTGATTTCAATACTGATGACAGTATACAAGATGAAGTCGAATACCAGATACCAATTTGGGCAAACATAAAACCGGGTACATATTTATTAGTACAATTTATTGGAAGTGAATCTTTAAGTTGCCGTAAAAAATCAAGGTTCTCTTATGTATGATATTGTGTGACCAGAACTGATGGTGATGATGGTGAGACAATTGTTCAAGGTATGAAAAAAGAAAAAACATCAGGAGTACACGGAAAAACTCAGTTTAATATGAAAGATAATGATATTTCAAACATAAATCTTGAAATGGTAATAGCTAAACTTCCAGAGCCCACATTATTTCATAAATCGAGAAAACTAATATATGATTTTCCAGGGTTTGTAAGTGTTCAAGAAATGTAATAATTTCTTTAATGTATTGTTATTTTTTAATATTAATTTACTTTTTATAAACTAATGAAAGTTTATCATATTTTAATTATTTATAGGTACTTGGTATTCAAAATGGAAAGTCTGATATGTTAATGTTGTCTTAGTCGTAGAACTATTGTTAACTTTAATAATTAAAGATATTATTTTAAATGCATAACATTAAAATGTTATTATATATTATATAAATCAGAAATAAATCATTTTTAATTATTTACAAAGAATTTGTATTATTATTTTTATTTAAAATTGGAAGTCTGTTTATTTTTTATTAATTAATCATTTTTAATTATTTACAAAGAATTTTTATTAATATTTTTATTTAAAATTTGAAGTCTGTTTATTTTTTTATTAATTAATCATTTTAAATTATGTACATTTTGTATTGTTATGGTTTCAATATATTATATTAATTTGTTTTATTTTTTTGTTAACAATTTTTTTTTTTTTAAATATATATGATGTATAATATCTAAGAAATGTGATATCGAATGTGATTAACTCAATTATAAGCAATACATTAAATAATAAATCAAATAACGAACAAAGGATTACTTCATTTTCAATTACCTATCATCATTAGTATCTTTTTTGATCAATGTTTAATGTATACATAACTAATTAAAACAAAAACTAAAAAATAATGATAAGCCCAGAATAAAATGTCACATTGATTTAAGATCAATAATGATTAAATTATAGTACTAATTATACAATTTTATTGTTTAATTAATCAACTATAAGAATATTTTGCAATTAACTAAATTATTGATTAATAAAAAGGATTAATTAGGTATTTTATATTTAGTAGTCATGGGTAATCATGGTTAATCTTAGGAAATCATGGGTAATTATGGTTAATCTTTGACAATCATGGGTAATCACTGGTATTTATGGGTAATCTTTGGAAATCAAGGGTAATCATTGAAATCAGTAATCTGGTGTACACAATTTCTGTCAGGTGTTTACCCCTCGATAAAAACCATCAACCAAACTACACCAGTGTTCTTTTTTTTTTTCTTCAATTGGCTACCTCCACACACCCCAGATGTCCGCATCACACTGCACACCTACAATTAATATTGATTTTTATTCTTAAGTGGATGTCACACCTACATGGGTTGTCTATGTTTCACTAACATAAAACATATCAAATTTATATCCAGCATTTTCTATTTTGTGTAGTTATCTTTATTATTAAGTGAATTGACCTATATCAAACTTAAAGCTAAGAATATTATCTGTTTTCAAATGGGTTTTCTATGAAATTGTAACTTTGAAGCAAGAATTGAAACATTTTAAATTAAATATTTCTCATATACATAATTGCTTAGAAATTACAATATAGTAAAAACATTATGTGAAATCCCAGATGATGTTTATACATAGAAGTTTGATAATTGGTCAATTCACTCAAAGTAATATCATTGATTTTATAATAGATTAATATAAAATCAATGGTAATATAGCTAACTTAGGTACTATAAAAAATTAGAAATGCTGAACACAAATTTGTTATGTTGAACGTTTCTAAGGTAAGGTTAGGATTCGAAGACAAAGATAACACACTTCATTCATAACAAAAATTAACTTTTGTAATAATATTTCAGTCACTAGTAAAACTTGTACTTATATACTTTATCATACATTTAATAACAATATCTAGGTACAAAATATAAAACATTTTATACAACGCAATATGGTAAACATGGCATAACATTTTTAAAAATTCAGTTTTTAAAAAAAAAAGTATATGAAAATGAAAATATTATACAATTTATTTTAAATACTTACATTATAATTCAAATTCCTTTAATTAGGATAATTTTCAGACTATTTGAAAACCTTCTTTAAAATAATTGATAAAATCTTATTACATTTGTTGAAAGTTAAGCTTGACGGACTAATGATTTTAGCATTAATATAATAAGTAATATCACGACAGTATGATTATGTATAAGTATAATATATAATAACGTACAACTGGACAATTAAACTGTGACTGTACACACGAGAAAACGTGAGTTGGGTCCACGGTATTATTCGATAGTACTCGAATTGGGTCCGCGGTATTATTTGATAATACTCGATTAATATTTTCTTTTCTTTTAATAGGACGTATAACTTGTCAAGTTAATAGTGTCCATCTAATAATATATATGTATATAACCTAATCTTGGGTCCACGGTAATATTATCTTATCTTAATAAGATGTATAATACAACGTAACCGGACAGTTGTCGCTGGATAACATATTGTAACTTGCCAGTATACCGATAGGTGTGAACGCTAGAGCCTAGAAGTGTCTATCTAATAAAATATAAAATAAAATAAGTATAGTATTTTGTAGTGTTAAATTAACTATGGATTTCATGACAAGCGAAAAAGGTAAACAAATTATCATTGAAGATCAATTTAAATTTCGCTTCCGCAAAATATTGCAGAATGACGTACAACGTTGGAAGTGTTGTCTTAATACGTGTGTTTTTTTTAAATTATCGGATAATAATCGTATGATTGAGAAATGTAAATGTGACCATACTCACGAAAAATGTGATAGCAAGGTTCTGGATAATCAAAAACTTAGTAACTCGGTTAAAAGAAAAGCGCAAGAAGATATTTCTACTCGACCTTCAAAGCTCATTAGATCCGAGTTTAACCTTCGATAAACACTAATGATTTGAAATTAATAAGAAATAACATCCATCATGCTCTTAAAGTACCTACTATATCCAAAATTATCTAAAAGCATGCAAGAAACACATAATTGTTTAAACACAATGAACATAACTACCAACAAAGGCGAACAATTTTTATTCTGTAATAATTTGGTAGATAATATCGTAGGTTTTTCAACTGAGACGAATTTGAAAGTTTTGTGTGATGTTACTAAAGTATACATAGACGGGACGTTTAAAAGCTGTGCGAAATATTTATTACAGCTTTCTATTCACGGATTTCGAAATGGATTGTATGTACCATTGGCTTTCTTGGTATTACCTAACAAATCATTAGAAAAGTACACTAAAGCTTTCCAGTATATCGTGAATTATTGCAGGTCTCTTCAACTGAATTTTCTACCTACCGAAATTTTTGTCGATTTTGAGATAGCAAATTCATACGTCTGTCAAGTGCGTTTGGACAAATGCTATTATTATCGGTTGTAGATTTCACTTAGCGCAAAGTTGGTGGAGAAAAATTCAACAGCTTGGGCTATGAAAGGCGTATAAAAGTTTCAATAATGATATAAGTGAGTAAGTGACTATCTTAAGTGCGTTTTTGGTTTACCATTTTTAAAACCAGAGGAGGTTTTAATTTGTTCAAAATTGTACTCCTAGGAAATCCAAATTCTAGTGATGCTTTTCTATGAGATAATTCTTTATTTTGAATTGCTGCTAGACATCTGGATAAGGTTTCTTCCGTATAATTTTTATATTTGCGGGATCCTAATTTTCTAGTATAACCTCGAGACATTTTAGTCTATGAAAAATAAAAGCTATGCAGGATTACCTATTATTAAGAAAAACTTTTATCTAATCTAGAATCGAGAATAATAGTTGATGGGGAAACTGTTGAAAGTAAAGCTAGACGAACTAATGATTTTAGCATTAATATAATAAGTAATAACACGACAATATGACTATGTATAAGTATAATATATAATAACGTACAACTGGACAATTAAACTGTGACTGTACACACACACTGCGTACACTCGGTAAGACAGCGTCTGTGCAAGTGATTATTACATCAAAGGCCCTATTTATATGAACAATCAAGGCCATCCCGTATCCGTATATAATATAGAAAGCGATAGAAAAGGTGTTGCACAGCTATATCGTAACTGCATAAGTATCTATTAGAAAACGACATTGTACACGCACGTGTGTTTACATGGTTTGAATACTAATATTAATTGTATATTTCAACAACATTACTAGGTATCATGGAAGATAGTGTTCATGAAAGCATACTGGACGCACAAGTAAAACAAAAATCCTCATATGCGAAGCGTTACCCTCAGTCTGATAGCACATTTAAAAAAGGAGATGAAGTGTTATTAAAAAATCTACGTCGAGAAGATCGCAAAGGAGGTTGGGTTTTTATGCCATGGGCCGTTCATTTTAAATTATATTTTGGACAAAAAAAAATGCATATTAAGTAGGAGGAAAACTGTTTTAAAAACAAAACAGCTTATTTCAAATATAAAAAAATACTATAGAAGTACCGATCACATAAGCCAGTTTGAAGATAACTCAATAGTAACTGCTCTTCCTCCACTTTCAAAATAAAAAAATTTTCAACCCAGTTTCTCTGTTCTGGATGAAAACCAAATGTAAAGAATTTAATTTTCCTCTTCCCCAAAATCCAGTGGCGAAAATCTAAGAAAACACATTTATTGGGTTAACTTCTTGATAGGTTAAGTATTAATGGAGACGGAAACTGTTGGTTTAGGTCAATTTCACTATGGATCTCTGGAACTGAAGAACATCATTTAATGACCCGTGCATCATTAATAAAAGTAAATTAAAATTATTATTATGAATATCTATTTTTAATTATTGTATTGTTTATGGTATTTTGTGATTTATAGGCCTATAGAGAAAATGAAGCAATAAAAAAAATTGTAGGAGACGTAGACACGTACTTGGCTTTGACTGGAATGGAAGAAAATGATATTTGGGCCACAGACACAGAAATAATATAGCAATGCTTTTAAATACTCATATTTATAACAATATGGAAAAATAGTATACAGACATCCAGGGGCGTCATTTGGGGGGGGGGTGCAGGGTGTACATTTGCACCAACATTTTTTATAAACGCCTTCTTTGGCCTGCCAACAATAAATATAAGCGCCGATATACCTAAGTGTTATATATTAATTATATATTATATATATTTTATATTTTTTCAGTATTTAAAAAAAAAAAATAAATATTGTAGGTACTAATGGGTTTTATTTCCAAAAATGATCGATGTGGTTGTGTGGTTATATCATAGACATAATATAAAATAATAATAATATAATTAATAATTATGTCTATGGGTTATATATATTTTTTATTCTCTACCATGATATTATTACCATCGAATATATAAATATCTGTGGGTATAATATTATGCTGATATAGATTTCTTATCACGCTCCGGTATCTCCCTACTCGTTATAATAAGAAAACAACATGATATATAATTCCCATCAAAAGAGAAAAAGTTGTCTATCCTAAACTAACCTAACCACAGAATATTATTTGTTTACATTTTTACCCTTGTCACTTACTTTCTACGGTAGAAATGATATTCTATGGTAGAAAAAGAAATTCTACCACCAATATTAAATATCCTGTTTGAAATTTTTGATGTATCCAGCAATAATTTTTTAATCCTAACTGCCCTCATTTAATATTCTTTACAAACCATTATAGTTATTTTCAATTTAATGAGTCTAAAATGTTATCCGAATTTCCTTCTGCAAAATCCTTGATTCTTAAAAATAATATAACCAATTTGAATTTAAATGACATTATTTCCTGTTTAAAAGATTTTCAAGTTGCTTTTTCAGAAACATTAAAAATAATATCTTTAGTTTTAACTTTACCTATAAGTACGGCTTCTAATGAAAGATTTTTTTCCTCACTTAAAAGAGTCAAGTCTTATATTAGATCAACCATGGGAGATGAGCGCTTAAGTGACTTATTAATGGTTAGTGTGGAGAAAGAAGAGGCCAATAAAATCAATCTAAATGATTCTGTAGATTCATTTTCAAAGTTGAAAAATCGAAGATATCCACTAATGTAATATAATATGTAATGTATTAAGTAATTATCATAGGCGTGCGCACAGGGGCAGCAGAGGCAGCATATGCTGCCCCTGGACTTACTTTGGGGCCACCGGGGCCGGCAAATATTAAATAATGGGCCTCGGTAAAATTATATTTCCACAAAGGATTTTTTTTTGTTTTGATAAACTATAGATAAATATTTTATATATATGCTTGTAGAAAAGTACACCTTTAGTGGCTTAGTACCTTACTGTACAACCTTTTATCCAAAAAAACAAATAACCAATACAATTTTAATTTTTATATCCAATAGTAAAAAAAGTAAAACTATGGGCAGGTTTTAATGGTGAATTTGAAAAATGGGCCGAATTAATCTCTTGCTGCCCCTGAAACCGGAGGCTGCGCACGCCTATGGTAATTATTGCTTTATGATAATAAATGTTTTTATTTGTGTAACTAAATGATTTGTTATTAAATTGAATTTAAGTTGTTAAATTAAAATTAGATGTGGAAAAATTTAGAAATATGAATTAAGTATATTGTGAAATTTTGAACAAGGCAACCCATAAAACAAATTTCAGGTTTAGGGGTTTAGCTATATTATTTATTTTGAGTGTGCAAGGAGAAAAAATGTATAGGTTAGGTTCGATTAAATACTATTAAGGTGCTTTATATACATAAATTTGCTTACCAAATCAACTGGCATCCACAATATAATATAAACTTATTAAAAGTACCTACACATAGTTCTTCAAAAATAGTAATAATATTGTGAAGTTTTTATATTAATATAAGTGACGTATTAAATACATTTTACAAATATTCTACAGTTTTTGTCCCCACTAGACCCCCCCCCCCACTTAAGAAAAAAAAAGTTTTCTATGTGGCCTGGTAACAATTTGAATGGCCTGCAAACGTTTTCGCACCAACAAAAAAAAAGTTGAAATGACGCCCCTGCAGACATCATTAAATAGTTATATTGGTTGAACTCTAATAGAATCTGAAACTTTTTTTTAACTTTTAATTTTAGAATCTGAGCGGAGCGGAAGTTTTATCTTATTATTTTATATTAGGAAGTAACAATACAATATTACTAACCTCTGGGTGTCTGGGTAGGTTTTTATACATTGTGATTTGTAATTCAATAACTTTTGTTGATTAAAAATTTAACAGCATCAGACAACAATGGTTTAAAAACATGCTGTTCATAAAAACTAAGAAGAAAACTTATTTTATTGAAAGAAATATTTTCAATTTTAACTTATCTATCAAAAATATAAACAGTGTTGTTACCTACTTATTTTTAAAACTGAAAATGTTGCTTTTTAGTCTGATCATCTTTCTTTTTTTGGAATGGCATCTCGGCTTTTATAAATGTCTGAATCTTGTTTCATAGATAAGTCAAATAAATACCTACCTATCTACTGGGCTCTATTTGTTTTAAAACTAGCTGTTTCCAAGTTGCCTATAAATTGTTGCAAAAAATCAGAATATTTAAAAATAATAAAATATAAATTGTTACGTTACAATAGAACACACTATATAAACTCCAATTTAGGTAGGCAGATATCTACTCTAGGAGTAGGTAGGTCTCTCGGTGGTAACCATTTGAACTCTAATTCATTAGTATAATATTTCTTCTTTTATTGTAAACAGGCCAAATTCAATTATTTTTTTTTGAACCATGGTTCCAAAAAATCTATTATAGATTCATTATTTAAAAAAAAAAAACAGATATCGTATTTATTGATTTTTTTCATAGAAAACTACAATCTGAAATATATAACACCATTATAAGCAATTTTTTGTGATTATCTATACAAATAATGTATAAACAGAGAAAAAGATGTTAAAAAATAAGTGTATTGTTTAATTCTAATGTAAACTAGCTTTATATTTTTAGCAATTATATAAGTCATATAAGTTGTTTGTTAGAGATCATTGAACTTTTATTTTAATGATTTTGTGCAGCCTAGGTTTTACAAATCATTGTTATTAAAATTCTGAATTAAAATGTATCTTTGACTAAGTATAGGTAGGTAAATTGAAGCCTTGCTTTACTAGCTATTAATCATGGGATTTATCGGTAACATTATATCAAATACATAACTTAAACTTGAATAGATACCTTTAAATGTTTTGTAGCAACTTATAATTTATACAACTATGCACTTGATCAATGGCAACTATTTTTATAATCCATGATATAACGACTACATTCTTATAAATAGGTACATGATATCATAAGGTTTCAAATAGGGGAACAATTGCAGTTTAACTACCAAGCGATTTTTTCAATTTTTTTTTTCGAAACCTAGGTAAATCAACGTTTTAAAAATGATGGTACCAAAAAAAAATTGCGCAAACTCTTAGAAATTCAAAAACTCCCAAATTTTGAATTTTGAATTTTGAAATTTTTTTTGTGGTAGACTTATGTATTTTGACTATTTAAAAACGATGGTGCAATCAGAATTTGTCGATCGAATTTAGTTTGAAAGTTATAGCGGTTTTAAGTTATGAAAGTTAAAAGTTGCAGTGATTACGAGTGTATTGGCACTCGTCACTACGCTCCGCAAATCGAAAATATCCCCCGATTTGTTGTGTAAAACCACCTCAGGTGAACCTCGGAATTAAACAAAGTTGTTTTTTGCCAATTACAGAAACATTTATATTTACAATATTTGGATTCAGGTTATATTTGTCCAACATATATTCCCAGTTAGGCGATTACTAGGTAGATAACACTAAGTCTGTAAAAGAACATTTAAAAGACATTAAGATAAAAATATTGTAGGTCATAATCTCGTACCTATCTATATCGTTTAAGTCGGGCTTGAAGCCATGAAATCACCGTAATCGGCAGTATGCGGTCTGCATTATTTGTGAAACATGTGTCTTAATCTTTTAAATATTTTTGAACTTTTCTCGTGCAAAACAAAGGGCCCGTTAGTATCGAAGTAATAGAAAAACTTCAAGAGTGGAATCTTATTAGTAAGAATAATTCATTAAAGTGTAACGAAGGGCATATCCTCCGTTTATGTCCCTTGGATAGTGCTATCGATGGATTTGTACGGCGATGCCGAGAAAAAAAAACCAAAAGGTCTTCGAGATGCGAATTTTTTCAATCGATTCGCAAACATATTTTTTTTTTAATTCTCATCTGTCCCTTTTTCAAATCGTGTCATTTTCTTATTTGTGGCTTAAAAATGTTTCTCTGTCTTTTATAATGGAGCAAATCTCTACTTCTGAAAATACTGCAGTAGATTGGGCAGCTTTTTCAGCATTTCGTTTTTGACTGTATGATTATACGTCATGAGAAGATTGGTGAGTTTGTAAAATGAAAATGATAATAATATATTGTAATATGTTACATTGTAGAATTTGTGGATTTGTATGTAAATATCAGAATTAATAAAATAAAGAAACAGTATTATTCGTTTAATACGTCATTTTTTATTTGTTTTAAACGTGTTTTGTTCAATTAATTTTGATTCATAACACCTTTCAAAGAATAAAACGTATAATTTTCGTTAAATATTTCGTATTTTTGTTTTTATAACAACAATAACACTTACATATTTTGAATTTTGTATCAGATAGGTACATACAAATCCGTACCCTTAACTTAAAAAATAAAAAGTAAAACAATTTTAACTGTTTTAAATAATAACTATAAAAGGTGGAATAGGCAAAACAGTCGAAATAGACGAGTCGAACAACCAGTCCAAATAACGGCCGTCCGGCAGGTAAGTATTGTCTTTCGAAATGTCGACGGAGAACAGAATTCAACTGAATGGTGAGTGGTTTTCGGTTATATATATATTATTTTTTCGTAATTGTGGGCATTTTCGGCTCGTGGGTGCTGGTGGTGGGGGAGCGACTTTAAATATAATAACGATAGTCATAATTATAACAAATTATCAAATTAAATATAATAAACTGAAACACACAACATCCGACTACACGCAGACGCATTTCGCAGTAGTAATTAGTAAATTAAATTAAAATAATAATAATAGCTATTAGAAACCAATAACGCTGTTAATTTTCAAAATAAAATTTCTAAAATATATAGTGGTATATTTACATATTACTGTCTAGACAGTAGTATATTTATTAATTACTGTCTAGACAGTAGTATATTTATATATAACTGTCTAGACGGTCTGCCGGTCGTCCGCCGGTCGTCCACCCCGTCATAACATCGCAGCTTACAAGAATCAATAAACGTACGTCCAAACACTGCTCGTGATTTAGACCACCAATTATTTATGTGATCACGTACCGATCGTCTCTCGTATCGTCTTCCATAACTCTTGTAACGTTCATTTGATTTTCGACAACGAACATGAACTTTTCCAAGAGGACAAAGCTAATATTTTGTATGGCTGTATCGACTAAGTGTACAGCCGTATATAAGGCAAATAACCGACTGGACAATAATGATATTGGTTACGTGGAATGGTCTAAGCCAAGTAGACATCATGTCTTCGAAAAACTAACGTGTGAGTATTAAAAGTATATTTTTTATAAGTACTCCCAATGCAATTTTACAATACGTTTTTTTTTTACAAGGCAAAATCTGTTTTCGAGCGTTCTTTAATTACGATATTTTTTAAATATTTTAAGTTATTTATTAGTTTTTAGAATTTTTTTTTTTTTAAATTGTGGCCCATTTTTAATTTTTTATGTAAATTGCGGCCCGGGCATATTTTTTACATACGTAAACTGCGGCCTGGCTATATTTTATATATACGTAAATTGCGGCCTGGATATAATTTTTATTACCTACCCAAATATTTTTTATTTATAAGTAATAATTACGTCTAAGCCTTTTTTTGCAAAATAAATATTTTCCTTCTCATTTTTCAGACTTAGGATAATAATAATTATTATATTATTAGGAATGTGTATATTTTAATATTTATTATCCTAAGTCTGAAAAATGAGAAGGAAAATATTGATTTTGCAAAAAAAGGCTTAGACGTAATTATTACTTATAAATAAAATCATTAAACTAGTTTTTTAGAATATTATATAATTTATGGTTATAGATATTAAATCATAATAAAAAAGAATAATGTATTTGTTGGTACTGGGCTTTTTTTCCAATGAATGTTGTCCGGGGCTTTTTTTTCCTAAATTCTTTTTGAAAGTACCATCAAATTAGGCATGCAAAAACACACATTATTGAAAAAAAAAAAATTCCAAAAAATCGCTTGTATCTCAACTGCATTTATGCCATTTTTAATTGTTATATTAATTTCTGCCTAGCAAACTTAAATCAATTAAATAATGCAGTATTAAATTACCAAGATTGTGTACATATGAAAATTGTCAAGAAGAAACCAGTAAAGAGATTAAAAAATAAAATAAAATATGTACCTCTGTCCACGACCAGTAATGTAATTACACAAATTTAACACCATCCATTAAATTGACCCAGTTGTAACATATATTTTTTTTGGAGTAGGCAGTAAATGAAATAGCAAACGCCTTAGAAGAATTATACAACGATGGACATGTATTTGTTAACATTGACATGGTTAATACAGTTCTACATAAAAATAAATGTTATGCTAATGTACAAGGCCATATTGAAACTAACAGTTTTCAAATTCAATCAAATCTCCTTCAAAATTCCGTAAATGAACAAAAATCAAATCAATTCAATTCTAAATTAACAACTCAAGTCTTCAATGTCATTAAATCTGAAAAACTAGAAAAAAATTATATTAATAATAAAAAAAATAATAATAGACAAGTGTACAAAAAACGCACATGTATTAAAAAAAAAAAATAAACTATGTGTATTGAGGTATAAAAAAAAAATTGAAAACATTATAATGTCAAAGCAAATGAGGACGACAATCGACTACGAAGAAATTAAGTGAGTAAAAAATATAAACACAAAATAAAACAAAATTGTACATTTCAATTCAATGTATTTGCAGGACTTCTAAATATGGCTTTACCAATAATTGTACTAACTACCCCCCAATCAACGTGAAAATGTCAAACGCCTGGCATCAGAAAATCATCAATCCATCATCGGAATTATTCAAAATAATATTAATTCATGATGTTGATGAGGAGAAGATACATAGCCATATAAATAGAATTCTTCAATTTCCTTTTAGTTCTTCTGTGGTTGATGTCAATTTGTAAGTCCTAATGTTTTTCTTCATCCGGTACTTTATTTTATAATGTACATTCCTATAAAAAACCTCATATTTCTGTATTATTAGGAATGATGAAACAGGAATAAAAGATCTAAAGCTGTGTAATGCAAAATACAAAATTGATTATGTACATAAAGCTAGCCATACACGTTCCGGTTTGCCGGAGAGGTCGGACTGCACAGTTTAACCTGCACAGTTTTTACCGATTTCCGATGACGACATACACGCCACGATTTGCCAGATACGCAGGACTGCGCAGTCACACGCTTTCCGGCCAAAATAGTCCTCAGCTGCGGGTCGTCGAATGTTCAAAATATTTATATTTTTTCACCGTTTTTTCAATCAGATTCTTTAACATATTTTTCACATTATTTTTTTTAATTCACATACAATATGTCAGTCCTAGACGACGACGCCATAGCTTTGGTAGGCTTAGCTCTAATTCTTAAAAACAAAAAACAAAAAAAACGCGAAAAATGGGCCAAAGATTGGCTCTTAAAACGAAAAATCTACAGCCATGTCAATTTATTAAATGAATTGAGATTCGAACCACTGGATTTCAAAAATTATTTACGAATGGACGAGGATACTTACCGTAATCTACTGTCAATGGTTGCGCCTTTAATACAAAAACAAGACACTGTAATGCGTAAAAGTATTTCTCCGCATGAGAGGTTAGCAGTTACCCTAAGGTTCCTCGCAACTGGAAGGACTTACGAAGACTTAAAATACACTTCAGTCATTTCATCTCAAGCACTTGGAAAAATTATTCCAGAGACCTGTGATGCTTTGTACCGAGTATTACGTAGGGAATATTTAACTGTAAGTACACAAAATATTTTAATGAATATATCATACTTTTAGATTCTGAGTAGAACGAAGAATGTATTGATTTTACAATGATGTGTTTTTTTAAATTTTTTATTTTTTTTTGTGTCTGTGATCACAAAATTTATCAAAATATCGAAAATTACCAATCACTGTAGTTAAAAAATTATAAAATGTTCAGTTATTATAACTAAGGATTGAAAATTTAAAACAAAGATTCTCATAAATAATTCATACTGTAAAATCTAAAAAATACATAAACACAGTTTTTTATTAATTAATATTTATTTAAATCTATAATATGTAGATACATTGTTTAGTTTTCAAGAGAGTTTATAAAATTAGTTATATAATGAGCAGCATTTTCTGGTTGAGTTTGTTGTTGATTAGTAGCAATATCATCATTTTCTTGATACACGTAGACACCATTTTCAGAAAAAGAACTCAAATTAGAATTTGTACTAAAATTTGAATTTGAACTATGATTTCGCGCGTAACAGCTTGATGTATCTTCTGCTGTTGTTGTTAACTTATGGTTTAATGTCAAGCTTCCCATTTCACCCTCGAAAAGGATATCATTCATCAACTTTTCAGCAATGATTCGCTGCCTTTTTTCCAATTCCCTCAATCTCATAGCAAAACCTTTTGCACTAACGTCATACCGATCTTCTTCCATTTTCGGTCGTTTAAAATGATCACGCACCGATAGCAACACCTCAGTTTGCAACTTTGCATCGTTTTTTTTTGATTTTTCTGCCCTTGTTGGATTAACGATATCTGATTGCGCAACTGTCGAATTTACTGAGTCGATTCCTCCTACTTCATTTTCCAGATTATCATCTATTCCAATCTGAAATAAAAATGAGATAAATTTAATTTTAAAATTAAATACAATTTTAATTAAATATAATTTTTAATTTAATTTTTTTTCAGTTTCCTACAACTGAGGTAGAATGGAAAGACATTGCACAATTATTCGAGGAACGTTGGAACTTTCCACACTGTATTGGTGCGCTCGACGGAAAGCACATAAATATTGTTCCACCAGCTGGAAGTGGATCCGAATTTTTCAATTATAAAGGCCACCATAGCATGGTTCTCTTAGGTTTAGTAAATGCAAATTATCAATTTCTATTGGTAGATTTTGGAACAAATGGCAGAATTTCTGATGGGGGTGTTCTTCAGAATACAACGTTTTTCGAAAAACTACTAAATGAAGAATTAAACATTCCTTGCGCAGACAACATTGAGGGAAGTTCCAAGCAATTACCATATGTTTTTGTATGCGATGATGCCTTTCCGTTACGAACTGATATGCTTAAACCGTTTCGACAATCACATTTGGATTGTTATGACAAAAAAAATATTCAATTACAGGTTAAGTCGCGCACGACGAATCGTGGAAAATGCGTTCGGAATATTGGCAAATCGATTTCGTGTATTCCATACTCAAATTAATATTGAACCAAAAAAAATTGAAAAAATTGTAATGGCATCATGCGCATTACATAACTTTCTCATTGTAAATTCTGCTACTTCATACGCGCCTCAAAAATGTTTTTACCAAGAAGACATAGCAAATGGAAGTATAACTACTCTTGGATACAACGTTGAAAATAGTAATATGCACAGTTTAGATCGTCGTAACTCGGGGAATATTGCAAATAGTGCAAAACAAGTACGAGAAAATTTTATGAATTATTTCTGTAATGAAGGCACCGTGCCATGGCAAAATAAGTTTATCGCGTAATTTAGTATATTTATTATAAACGATATATTTGTATATTTGTATTTTTTTTTTATTTGTATATTATTTTGTTTAATTAAATATTTCAAAAAAAATAACCTTAATTGTTTTACCAACCTCAGATATGCTTTCATCTTGTATGTCCAAATTTGATGTTGATCCTCGAGGCGTATCTTGGTCGTTTAAAAAGCTCATCATATCATAATACCACAATTTAGGCCGATAAACATCGTCAGAAGAAGCTCCTGACTTGAGAGAAGCTTCATATTTTTTTTTTTCTTTTCGGGCACTGCTTCTTAAATTGTTAATTTTCTTCACAACTAAATCTTTGTTAGCATCTGGTTCAAATTCTTTTAATTTTTCGATTAATGCTTTGTAAGCCGCTTCCCTTAGTGGGCGGTCATGGTAGAGCTTCGATTTTATTTGCCACAGACATGGATATGATTTATATAAATCTATAAATTCTTCCAAATTCCTACGGTTCATTATTATATTATATAATATAATTTAATAAAATATGTATAATATAATATAGTAAAATATGTTAAATAACTTGTAATAAATTGTAAAATAAGTTACATTGACAACAAACAAAAAAAACAAACCTAAACCTTAAATAAACAGCAAAAGTACTATGCCGCAAAAGTGAACCAGCCGGTCGAACGACGGTTATATCAACACACGGGCACACACGATCCGGTATGCCTGTACAGTCATGACTGTACAGGCCAAAAGAATCGTTTTTCAATTGTTTTCCGGCCGCCTGTGCAGTCCCCGAAAACTGCGCAAACTTGTCACACACACGTTCCGGAAAAACTGTGCAGTCCGCCTGCACAGTCCGACCTCTCCGGCAAACCGGAACGTGTATGGCTAGCTTAAAGCTCTAGATTCCATGTTAAAACTTGTCCAAAAAAATTCAAGTTATGAAAAAGGTGATCAAATAAATATTATAGTGATGAATCCAAATTTAAAAAATACTATATCTACTGGTATGAAATCTGATAATTTTTTAACAAACTTAAAATCAATTATTGTTAACATATTAACTTCAGCTGAAACAATTGATATAACAGAAACTACTTTTCAAGTTCAATTAGTGAAAATACCAAGAGGTTCAAGGAGAACTAAAATAATTAATTTATCAGAAAATATAAAAACAAAAAAAAAGTATTATTGAGATTAATAACGATGATAATTTATGTTGTCCGAGTGCTATTGTTGTTGCATTATCTACTGAAACAAACAATATTTTAGGTCATGAATTAGACCCCAATAAAATTAAACAATTGAAGATAGGTAGAAAAATTCAAAAAGATTTAGCTTTAGAATTATGTAATATGTTACCAGAATATAACGAAGAAGGATTTACATTGAATGATATTAAGAATGTGGAACTTGCACTAGATATTCAAATAAATGTTATTTGTGCTGAAAATTTAAATACTTTAATTTATAAGGGTGAGGATAAAGAAACTAAAATTTATTTGTATAAAAATGGTAATCATTTTGATGTTATTAAATCAGCAAAAGCTTTCTACGGATCGTGTTATTATTGTAATAAGTGCGATAAACCATATCAAAATAAAGATAAACATAAATGTGGTAAAAATAAAAATAAAAATAAAAATATATGTAAATTGTGTACATATTATGGTGAGAGATTTGAACATTCAATTAGTACAAAAAATAAAATATATTGTGAAAAATGTAATAGATATTGTTATAATCAAGAATGTTTAGATAATCACGAATATGTATGTGCCTATCACGGTTTAAGATAGTATGGTTGCGTAACGAAACGAGAAAAATTGTGTTGTGAACGTTCTTACCAAATACCTACGATCATAGAGCGCTCCCAGCGGATCTATATACTATTAACTATATACTATTGTTCTATGATATTACCAGTGCCGCATTTAGACATTTTGTGCTGCGGTGCAAAAAAAATTTGGCGCCCCCGTATGAGGCCTAACCCCATATATGGGAAATATGGAGGATAAATTCTCATGAACCTTTTAGATTTTGAGCAAAGAAAAGAATATTGTTTTACAATAATGTGTTTTTTTTAAAAATATTGTTTAATATTTTCATGAACACTCCCCCCCCGCCCCCCATAGATACAATTGAGTGTATTCCACTTGAGTCCTGCTTATAATTTACATCATATGTTTTTTTTTTTTTTACATATTTAGGTATTTACTTCATGGATCATATTAATATAAACTATGTGCAAACTTATGGTTTATTTTTTTAAAAATAAGTACAAATATTAATAAGAACAATATAAAAATATAATAAAATATTTGTTTAGGTACCTAAATTTTTCTTCTACTTTGTAGTGTAGCAAATTCATTGATAATATCATCAAATTCAATTTTAGCTGTTACATCAGATTCTATATTCATAATAGCTAAATCACTGAGTCTCTCTGCTGAGATACAAGACCTCAGATATGTTTTGACACGTTTTAAACATGAGAATGACCGTTCGGTCGAGCAATTACTTACAGGAGTACATAATAGCATTCTGAGAGATATCTACATCTATATAAGGGTACATTCCTATTAAATCATTTTTTCTCAAAAAACCACACATATCCTGGATAGTCTTAGGAGCCTCGTCACCGATACTTAATAAGTGGCTCCTAAAATGAACACATTCATTAGCAAATAAAGTACTGAGATCATCTTTATATTCATTTTGTAGTATTTCAGCATTCTTTCGGACTTTAATTGATGTCATCTCTGTTAATTTGAAAAAGAAGTTGTAATTTTTAAGTAGATTTTCATATTTTTCATTTCTTTTTTCTAGTTGTGACCGCAGTTGATCAAGTATAACAAAATAAGTTTTCACTTTAAAATCAGAGTATTCAACTGTTGTTTCTTTAGATGGCCCTTCATCAAAAAATTGTTTTCTTATTTTTAATCGTTTGGTACAGGATTGAAACTGCTTAATTTTACTTTTTTCAATTGCACATTGTTTAAAATACTCATAGTTTTTATCAGAGCGTAAATCAATGATATATGTTATTAATGATTTATACAATTCACACACTACACCCAAATCGATATTGACAGCTTGTAATTTCTTGCTCGTTAAGTTGAATCGGTGTAATATTTGACCCCAGAATATAGATAGGAACGCAGTTTCTAAATTATTTAACTTGTTGAGAATTCCACTAGCTTCATTTCGAATAAGTGTTTTCTCAGTATCATCATTATTTATTAAATTTAATGCATTAATTTGCACCAGTTTTTGTTCAGAGATTGGCAAGCGTCATCTCTAGCAGACCATCTTGTTTCTGAAAGTCCCTTAACAGAAGCGTTTAGAACTTTCCAGCGGTGAGTAGAACCTGTGAAAAACGTGTAAACATTTTGAAGTAAATTGAAGAATAAAACGGCTTGAGTACAACAATCAACTGCATTAGTTCCAACCAGGTTAAGGGAATGCGCAGAGCATGGTACAAATTTTGCTAAGGGATTGGCTTCTTTTATTTTTGCTTGCAGTCCGGCGTAATACATTAGTTGTTTTAATTTCAAACAGCATAATACATTAATATTATATAATACCTACTGTTGTCTGTTATTAAAATAATTTACATTTTAAAAGTTCATTTTTCATTTTATTTTTATTAATTTTTTTATTTCCGACCACAAAATTTCGGCGCCCCCAAAATACTGGCGCCCCGGGCAGTTGTAGCCAATGCCCCCCCCCCTAAATGCGGCACTGGATATTACCTAAGATAATCTAATTTAGCCGTGGTTATAACTGTGTTATTATAATTATTAGTTATTACTTATTTTTTTTTATTCACTAATAAATTTCAATATTAATTGTACAAAAAACAAAATGTTCTTGAAAGAAACTCTTTATTAAGTAATTTAAAATATAAAACAACTATGTGGGTACTAATTTAGATAACTTTTTTTTTGCTTTATTTATTTGCTTAGATTCAATATTTTTCATGTAAGAATACTGCCTCATTCTCATTACAATATACATTGTGTATATTTCTGTTAATATTTCACTTTTATGAACTGAACATTCCCATTTGAGTATAACATTATCATTAGCTAATAAATCTTCATAAGTGTCTTCAAAAACATTGAGTGAGTCAGCATGTTTTTCAAATGACGTTTCAAACATTTTTATTATTGTGTATAGATGATGATTTGGGTGGGACAAAAAGCCTCTGGTTTTCATGTTAACCAAATCAGCATCTGGATGAGATACTTGACCATATTCAGATTTCAAACAGGTTAAACAAAGCTCACATTTGATTTTTTTCAGCTTAAAAAAATCACTGTCAAATCCACAACCAATTTTAACAGCCAATAAATATTTACGTAAAGTTGTGACACATGGCAGAGGTAAAATATTTTGTTCTCTTAAATAATTATAACCACTAGGTGACCTATATTTTAAATATTAATAATAATATAAATTATAAAACAAAAATCAATAAGTATGGAAGCTAATTAATTTTTACTTACCTAATTTGAAATAATAAACATAATATTACCCAATTTTCATTATATCTCCTATTTTTAGAATTCTTCACTTTGGCTGCAGAAAATATTTCTTTAACCAGTTCTGATTGGCCTTTAGTAATCCCGGAACGTTCCAACAGTTTATCAAGGTTGCAATCATCAATATTCGTCATTTTAATTTTAATTTTATTTAATTGACTTTTCAAATTCATAATTTTGTTATTTGCTCGGTATAATTTGTTTCGTACAACAGTTTTAGATTTTGTAAGTCTTTTTACCAATCTTTGTTTCTTAGGAGTTAAACAAATTCTTGTATTTTGTCCTTTACCAATCCTAGTTTGTTTCTTCCTCATGGAATATACCAACCTTTTACACAATATGCATACAGTACTATAATAAAAATCATCATAAGTAATTTTGACAAAAATAAATTGATTTTAATTTATTGAGAATTATATCAAATGTTCAATTTACTCATCATAAGCGTTTAGTACAATGTTGCATTTTCTATGTCGCAACTGGCCATTGAATTCAATACACTGAGGACCAATTAATAAACTCTTACTGTCAGTTAACTTCATTAAAGAAACAGCTGAACTACATAATTTAATTTCATCAATAATTTTTAAAAGTATTTCTACTTGTTCAATACAGTTGATGTATTTAATATTACTCTGTAAGCCAATTTCAGATGGTTCTATTTTTTTACCATTTATATGTATTATTATTTCATCGTCTAGTTAGTAACAAATTAAATAAACACTTATAAAATATAACTATCAAAAATTATAGTATTTAATATATTATTAGACATATTAGTATTATACCTTTAGTTATAATGATTCTCCTTTCAACGTACTCTACATAATCCAAACTAAAACTATTTAATTTATGAAAAGTTATGTACATATCGTTATCTGATGCAATGCATTCATCCATAAACCAATGATTAGGTAATTTGAAATTATTCTGGTTTATTAACAAATAATTGTATGTTCAATTTTGTTCAATTTCAAAATCAACCTGTTAAGTATAAAAAGGTAACTTATAACTGAAATATTGATTTTGTGTTTTTATTATAACTTACCTTTCTCTTTTTATTTGGGGATGTTTGGATAAAAATAGGTGATTTGCATATAGGTTTTATCTGAGAATCACTCGAGGGTTGTATTGGATCCGGTTGAAATGGAAACAATTTATTCTCAGATTCAAAAGTCTATTTAATATTAATTTATTAAGTATTGTTAAAGTTAATAATCAAAATTATATCAATTATATTATTAGTTTTCAAACCTCTACATTTTTATTTTGATCATTTGAAACTTTATTTTCACAATTTAACATTAACTTCGGTACAGCCCCTTCTACTAATCTCGGAATTTTCAAACATATCTAAGAAATAAATATTAATTTTATAGTAGTTAACTTACCATTTTTATATTAAATTTACCGTGTATTTATTTAATCCTTCGCCAGATTCCCAAGTACTTTTAATTTCATGAGTTTCAAAATGTTTAGCACAGACACGATGGCTCTTTTTTAAAACCATTCCCAAAGCTTTTTCCCATTTTCCTTTTTCTCCCTCATTTTTGGGAACACTAAATGTAGTTTTGGATGCATCATGAGGTGCATGTACACAACAGATATACATTTTAACAAAATGTCAAAATAATGTCAGTAACACATAAGAGTACATAAATCATTTAAACAAAATATCAGTATTTATAGCTCAGTGAAGAGCACGACTATCTATAAGTACCTACATTGATATTATGAATAATTATGATTTATGGAAATGATTTTCTTTTTGGCGGCATTTTTTGAATATCAAATAATTATAATATAATATATTTATATATAATATTCAAATATTGATAGTATAAAACCTATGATAAAAGTATAAGGTTTTATAAATGAACTGATAGATGGCGCTGCAGAATCTTAGGTAAAATCAGCTGATTTCGTAAGAACATTTGTACTACATAAAAGTCTTGCCGTAAGTAATACACCGTACTGCAACCATACTATCCTAAACCGTGGTGCCTATGTATATAAATGTATTGATTGTAATAGAATATTGTTTAGAGATAGGGAACATAAATGTGGTTATAGTAAATGTAGAAATTGTCTAGAAGAAGTGAAAATAAATGAACATCAATGTTATATGCAAAGTAGATTAGCAAAAGGAGGTAAATGCTTAGTAGGATGTACAAAATGTGGAGGTACAAATAAACCATATCAATGTTCTTATACAGAAAAATATTTGTTTTTTGATTATGAAGCTCAACAAGAAACAGGAACTCATATCGCAAATAAAATAATTGCTCATGATTTTGAAGGAAATAAAATTATGTTTGATACAAATGAAGAATTTTGTAAACAAGTAATATCTGAGGAATATAGGGGTTATACATTTATAGCACATTATGCAAAAGGATACGATTCACAATCTATATTGAAATACTTGGTTGATAACACTCTGAAACCATTTACAATTTATAATGGTACAAAATTAATGTTATTAGAAATTAAATATTTAAAAATAAGAATAATAGATAGTTCTAATTTTATTCAAGGTTCTCTCAGTAGTTTTCCCAAAACGTTTGGTCTCAAAGAACTGAAAAAAGGTTACTTTCCGCATTTCTTTAATACAGTAGAAAATCAAAATTATATTGGTAAATTACCTGATAAAAAATATTATGGAGTCGAAACAATGAAACCAGAGAATAAACTAGAATTTGAAAAATGGTATAATGAAAAAATTAATGAAAATTATATATTTATTTTTAAAGAAGAATTAGAGGCTTACTGTAATTCAGATGTAGATATTTTACGAAGAGGATGTTTAGAATTAAGAAAACAATTTTTGGATATAGCTAGCATTGATCCTTTTTGCTATACAACTATAGCAGGTGTTTGTATGAGTATTTACAGATCAAAATATTTGTTAGAAGATACTATAGCTGTTTTAGATAAAGAAAAAATGAAAATTATTCAAAACAATCGATAACGTGGTTACAAAATTTTAATAATAAAAATATCTCACATGCATTAAATGGGAACGAAATAATAATAGCAGGAGCTAAAGTAGATGGATTTGATAATAAATCAAAAACTGTTTATCAATATCATGGATGTTTTTGGCACTGTTGTACTAAATGTTATAAAGATCGAGAAACTATAAATAATATAAATCATGAAACAATGGATGATTTGTATCAAAAAACAATTGAAAGAAGTACAGCAATAAAAAAAGCTGGTTATAATCTTGTTGAGCAATGGGAATGTGATTGGATAAATAGCACTATATACAAAAAAATGAAAAAAGCTGATATAGCTGACCCTATTAATCCTAGAGATGCTTTCTTTGGAGGTAGAACAAATGCGACAAAATTAAGGGTAAAAAACACAAAAATGCGTTATATTGATGTATGTAGTTTATATCCAACTGTGAATTATTATGATTATTATGCTGAAGGACATCCCGTAAAAATATTTAATCCAAAAAAATATGATAAACAATGGTTTGGTTTAATTAAATGTAAAATTTTACCTCCAAGAAATCTTTATCATCCTGTACTTCCAGTTAAAATAAAAATGGAAAAAAGTGAAAAGTTATTATTTCCTTTGTGTTATAAATGTGCTGTAGACCAAAATCAAAGATGTGATCATTCTAAAAATGAAAGACAACTTATAGGAACATGGACAACAGATGAAGTTAATAAAGCTTTGGAAAAAGGATATATTATGACAAAAATTTATGAAGTGTGGCATTTTGAAGAGAAATCAACAGATTTATTTAAAGATTATGTAGATAATTTTATAAAAATAAAATTAGAAAGTTCAAAACATAATTATAGCTGTAATGATGAGTGTATAAAAACAATTTTCGATAAAATGGGTATTTTATTAGATAAATTAAAATTAGGTGATAATCCAGGTAGGAGAGCTGTAGCAAAGCTGTGTTTAAATAGTTTATGGGGAAAATTTGGACAACGACAAAAAATGAAAAAAACTGAGTTTGTTACAGATCCACAACAATTCTATAAAATATTATTAGATGATAGATTAGAAAATATCAATATAAAAATATTAAACGACAATATGATACAAATGTGTTATAATTATAAAGATTATTATGTTGAGAATTTTCATAATACAAATATATTAATAGCTTTATTTACAGCATCTAGTGCAAGATTAAGATTATATGAAATGTTAGAAAAATTAGGTAGAGCTGTAGCTTATTTTGATACCGATTCTATTTTCTATATAGATAATGGTGTTAATAAAATTAAAACAGGAACAATGTTGGGAGAATGGACTGATGAATTAGGTGAAAATGTACATATTACAGATTGGGCATCTACAGGTCCTAAAAGTTATTATTATAAAACAAACGATAATAAACATCAAACGGTTATAAAGGGATTTACTTTGAATTATCAAAATTTGTTAAAACTTAACGGTGAATCAATGATAAAATTAATTGAACAAAAAAATAAAGATAGTAATATAGAACTAGAATATAATCAAATAACACGTGATACGCTTACTAAAAATATAGTTAATAAGAAAGTTACAAAAAAATTCTCGTTTGGTTATGATAAAAGAATAATATTACCAGATTATGATACAATACCATACGGTTACTAGAATATGATATCCTAATGAGTTGGGAGACACGGTGTCTCCCAACTTTATAATTTCATAATCATGGGCTTGATACCGTAAATATTTATAGTATATTTATAAAATATACTATAATAGATATTCTATTATAGATATCACTTCCTTTAACTTAGGTCATATTATTAAAATTTTGTTTTTTGTAACTCTTCGTTATAAAAACTCCCTATAATCTCTTCATTGTTTAAATCTATAATTTTATAGGTAATAGGAATTGTGTTTAAAATTTCATTAACTATAAATATTTCTTCAGTCCAATTATTAATAAATTTATTACCAAATGTTTTTTTAGAAACTGTTATTCTTACTCTATCACCTACACTAAATTTAATTTTTGGTTTAGGTTTGTTTTTTGTAAAAAATAATTTGTGAAAAACAACATCTTCGTTAGATTTATTTACTTCACAAGGTCTCATACCTATAGATCGGTGTATGTCTTCGAAATTATATTCATATATAAATTTTTGTAAAATTTTAATCCATTTTTTTGAATTTGTAACTTCAAATTGTAATCCCATTTTCTTGTTTAATGTCCTATTAAATCTTTCAATAATTGATGATTTTTCTTCATTTTGGGTGTGATACATTTTAATTTCATATTCTTGCAAAACTTTTTTAAAATGTTTATTTTCAAATTCCAAACCTTTATCTGTGTGAAGTTTTTTGGTGCTTGATGATTTTGTGATATAGCTTGTTTTATTATTTTTTCAAATGCTTCTGAAACACTAATTCCATCTTTCTTTTTGAGTTCTAAAGCCCAAGAAAATTTTGAAAATGTATCTATAACAGTTAATATATAAGAATAACCCTCATTTTCATCAGAATAATTTCTCATTATAACTAAATCAGCAGCCCATAAATCATCTATACCTTTAGTAATTATTCTTCGTTTAGGAAATTTTTTTCTAACTGGTTTATGAAGTTCTTTAGCTAATATCATTTTATCTGTATCATTTAATTTTTTATTGGAAATATTATGTCCAATTGTAGAATTTTTTATAAATTTACTTTTATTTGTGTTACAGATAAAACATTTTGATGAAATTCTCCATCTACCATTAACTGTTTGAATTTTAGTTGCATTAATATTTTTTGTTTGAATTTTACATTTAAGACAATATATAGTTTCGCTCATTTTTTATATTTATAATGAAAAAATTTTTAAAAAAATTATTGAAAATAAAAAAAATTTTTATTTTCTAATATAAATAAGAAATAGAAATGGAAAACTTTAAAGATGCTTTAAATAAAATAAACAATGGATATACATTTATAAAATTTAATTATTTGGAACAAGGAAAACCATACAAAGTAAATAAGTTCATAAAGATTGATACAAAGTTTGGAAAAAGATAATCAGTTGTATTAAACGATGAATATATGTTAAATTTACCAGATAGATATACAAATGAATTTACAGAAAACGAAATAACATGTTATAATACAAATTCGGAAACAAAATTGAATCTTATTTATAATGGTGAAACATTTTTAAAGAATGGGAAAACAAGACATGATTTTAATTTTTTTAAGTAAAAAATAAATTTACTTTTATAAATGGTATTTATAAAAGTTAAAAAGGGTCGTATTGATTTAAACAAACCTATTCACAATGATGATGGTGATCATTTTTTAGCTCTCTATTCAATAGTTTTGAAAGGCAACGATTTTATTAATATTGAATTAGACTGTTGTATAACAATTAAACAGAATATAATACATATAAAAACAGGTAGATATAGTATTGAACAATTGAACAAAGAAATAGAACCACTTATTATATCATTTTCTGATGAAACTAATAGAATTACAATTAAATCTCCTTGTTATTATAAATTAGATGAAAAATTAAAAAAATATTTAGGTTTTAATGATAATATAGATTTTTCGACAAGTGAGAAAAAAATGTACTATCCTATTGATGGTGAATATTACATAAATATTGAAAAAGAATGTGAATTT